TATATATAAAACGTACTACAACTATATGTTTTCTTTGGCTGGATTTTTCACCAACAATTAAAAAAAACCTTATAGATAAATTTTCATATAAAATACGAAATTATTTGCTTTTATTAGTCTTGGCAAAAAAAAAAACATTAGTTTCGAGTCCACCAATGAATTGATTAAAATGTGCATCCAAAAATAACAAGTTGTGAATGTTTAATTCGGAAATGTGTTACGCATTTATGTGTTACGCATTTAATGTTACGCATTTATATCAGACAATATAAAAATCCAATGGATAGTTCGATTGAACGACAAATTTTATAAAAATAATAAGTGTATAGACACTGTGATACGTCTAACTCAGTAAAATAGCAAATGATAAATTTAGTGTTACATCGGTACTCAGATATAATAATAAAACAATCAATAAAATATATCTTTGTATTGTTTTTAGATGTGACACATGCATCATTCAGTGAGAGTTAAATTTTAATCTTTTATAATTTATTCTCTTAAGTCATTAATTCACGATATATTTAATATTTTACAGGCCACAATTTTTTATTTCGTGATTATGCGACTACGCAATAAAAAATTTTTTTCACTATTTAATTTCATTTGTGTTCAATTATATTTCCTCCCAAATAAAGTGAAAAAACTTCCTTAAAAAACCTTATTTTTCTAGTGTAAAAATTTTAAAACAAAAGTCACAGTGAAATATTTGTTAAGAGTATTTTTCAATTATTATATATATAAACATTAAACTGCTTTTATTGGAAAATATTTTAACTACAGATATAAAATGAAATATTATGTATATGATTTCAACTTTCAGAATAATGTAGTTCCAAAGTTTAAAATAATCAAAATTATTAGATTTAACAAACATCTGAGTTTTTTTATCTCATGTTCTTGATAGCATGATAAAAATTAGTACTTGTCATAGTGCTTATGACTTTTGAATGGGAATACAAAGTTGAAGACTCTATAATAATAAATGAAATTTCAAAAATTATTTTTAAAAATAACAAAAAATTCTTCTTCTTGAAGAAGACGTTTACACATTCTTATTGAACACATTTAAATATTAGATAGCAAAATAGAATTTTTCACCACCCACATGTAAAAGTGTGATAGAAAAATTAATTGATAACATTTGTTTATCTTAAATTTGCGTTTGGAGAACTTATTTATTATAATTATAATTATATGAAACATATTAATATTGATATTATTAGATCTTATTAGGAGATTAAAAGATTAATAAAAGACAGAATTAGTTGCAGAATAAATTACTTTTTTCTAATAACAAAGGTTGTATTTTTACATTCTCCGAATCATGCCTTACGTCTTTATTGATAATAATCATGTGATTATCATAAAAACTTTATTATAAAATATAATTAGCGTAAAAAAACCATGAAACATTTTAAATGCTCTTGCTGCGTTACAAGATATATAATTTTAAAATAAATCTTAAAAAGTTAAAATCATTAATATTATTTAAATATTATCAAGGATACAAGAACAATAAAGATCAATAAATGTTGATGAAAAGAACATATAACATAAATACAATAAAAACGCTTAATAAAATATAGTAATTTGCAGAGTTGACAGTAACGCGGTACATGTAACCCTGTTACTTTGTTGATTACCTTGTTATAATAATGATTTGATAATAATATTGTGAATTTTTTTATGATGGTAATGGTAATATCAGAGTTAGAAAAATTAATTGTTACTTGTAATGAGTTAAAAGAAGTCATTCGTTATTGAAAAAAATAATTCCTTTTTCTATTAATTTGCATTACATTTTATTCGCGTTATTCGTAACGAGTAACGTTACGTGTTATTACTTTTGTTACGTTACTTATTACTTTTTTTAGTAAGTAACGCGCAATAATGATGACAAATTACTTTCCAAAATGGCTTTTCTAACTTTAACACAACGTTAACGTTTAGTTAGTTAGCATTATCGTTATAAAAAAATTGCAACATCGTTATCAAATTGTTTATTATAGAAAGTAATAACAAAGTAACTGAAAAGTGACGTTTGTCAATCCTGGTAATTTGCTTATGCAATTTATGTTTACTTTTCAAACTGAATTTTATTCAGCAATAAAGAATAAAAAAGTTAAAATATCATAAGTTGCTAATGTAAAATATGTTAAAAGTTCCTTTCATAGAGTTTCTTTGTATCACAAAGAATATGTTTCGCTTTGCCTATTTTTATGTAAAACGCGACTTGTATGTTGACATTTATTTATTAAAAATTGGATTATTTATTAAAAATTGGCCTGACTGTATTTGGTATTATATCGCAAATTGCTCTTACAATATGTACAAATTATGCTAATTAATTAAATTTTTGTTATATATTCTTTTACATTTTTTTATACATTATATTTGGTATTGTCATTTTATTATTACTGAGAAAATTTATACATACATCACAGTATTATTTAAAGAATTATTAATAGAAATCGAGTTATGTTTAAACTATCATAAATTTAATCAATATTATATTACATTTTGAAAAAAAAATATCTTAATTAAATTTAATATTACTTCCTTGAACACAACTAAATACTTAGACAGTAATTAGACTTTATATATAGTTTTAATTAGTATAGTCAAATTTTTCGTAGTATTAATAGATCCATTTTTAAATCATCATTTAAATTTATTAAAAATAAATATAAAATATTTGGAATATGCATTTGGATATGCATATATAGATGCGTATAAAGAATTTATAATCATTTATTATTAATCTCGGTTTAATTTACTCTTTATTTTTTCTAATTCTAAAGCCTATTCTACAATGTATTGTTTGTTACTTAATTTTAAAGAGCATCTTTAAAAACCTGTTCATGATACATAAATCATATAATCGAAATACATCCATATTAACATATGAATTTAAATAATAAACCAAATTTGAATCAAATAACGTTTACTGTAAAATGTTTTACAAATGAAAGGAAGTCTCGTTCGGCCAGGCTGTACCAAATTATAATTATAATAGGTGTTTACGTATCACAGATAAAAGTGAGATCAACAAATGCTCCTCGATGCTACATTAGCTCAGTGGTAGTTAATAGTTTTGTATTATGATTCGTTTTTGTTAAATTTAGCGAAAAATTAAAAGCATAAATCATATTAAAGAATCATTGATCGAGCACTTTCTGAAATGCTTCTGTGCTGAACTCATTTAATGAGCAACTTCAGCGTCTGGCGCAGCATTCTAGACTTTCAGTCTCACTTTTATCCGTGAAACTTCTATGCTATCAGGTCAAGATCAACAGGTTTTTGAAGGTTAAAAATTGTTTGCTTTTATTAAATCCAGTTTCATAGCCAATGTAATACTAACCTCTCGATTATCGATTTAAGTTACTATTTTTTTTTCTAATTCTTAAGCTTGTTCTACAATGCGCCCTTTATTTCCTGTTTTTTGTTTTTTGCTTTTTTTCTCCTTTACAACCGTTTTTTATCGACAATTATATTTCTTGCTACGTATTTTTGTCGAAGTTCATTAATTTTTATCTCGGGCAACATAAAACAAAAAATCAGAATCAAAACAAGGTGTAAAAAATAATAAAAAGCAAGTAACAAGCAATACATTGTAGAATAGGCTTTAGAATTAGAAAAAATAAAGAGTAAATTAAACCGAGATTAAAGTTAATCTATGTTGGTTGAAGTAAATAAACATTAAAAAAACCACATTTCATATTTGATTATATTTATTTTTGACAAGACGATCATAGATGATAGGAAAAATTTTATGTCTTGAATGTTGCCTGAAACATTAAGACTGCAGTCGAAATATAGTCGCGTAATTTTCTCGTAAATTAACGAACAATATAATCCGTTTTGTTTTCTACATAGATTGAGTAAGAAAATTGGAAAAATTCTCCCTCTCTCTCTCTCTCACTCTCTCTCTTTCAAATTACTTGTTCGTGAATATACAGGGAAATCGCGCGTGACTATCTCGACGGTCGCGATTTCAGACAACATTCGAGACACGAAAGAATACTCTGAAATACTGTCACGATTTCGGTTTCTCTTCACTCTTGTATGTTACGCTGTAATAATTCTACTTGGACTCTAGGTTGCTCTAGCTCTATGGCAATATACTGGCGGAAGTACGAACGGCCACCCACCCAGAGACGACTTGCTTTAATAGCTGTTTCTACTGTACTCTGATAATGGTTGCGGTCGTCTTATAGTCTGATACATGCGCTCGCGTTGCTCCAGCTAGCTATTGTTGCCGTGGTAGTAATGGAAAATTCGTATGTTGGTAGCGGTCAGAGAAGGCTATAGCCGTGGTTAGTCGCGGTCCGTATGCAAACGGCGACGGTTCGTAACTTGAACATCGAAATTTATTCGCGTTAGTGCATTGTGGTAGTGAATTTAAAAAAAAAGATTCTCACTAACAAGGGTAAGTAATCAAATAGACACGATTTATATTTACTTTTTTACGATTAAGAACAATTTATTCAGACGGAATGTCGAAACATTCTATCTATTTTGAAAAATCTGTTTTCTTTCTCTATTCCTATAAATATAAAATTGTAAAATTATAGATGTAAAATTATATAAAAAAAAAGTTAATTTTATATTTTTCGATTAATTTTAGCAGATCTTGAATTTGGCACTTGCATTTTTCCATTCTTACGATATTATTTTTTTTATAATAATCAGTGAACTCTCTCTCTCTCTCTCTCTCTCTCTCTCTCTCTCTCCCGTCTTTCGTATGTATTTATTTTCAAAAAGTGATTGTGTGAAGCTGCTTTTTTAAATAAAATAGTTATCTTTTTCTCATTTAAATAATATTCAATTTTAAAATTATAATTAAATTTCTGAATTCTAAACATAGAAATTCTGTGTATTATTAGAAAGAGAATCTTTTTATTACTACATTATGGAAAATTTGTAATATTGATAAAGTTTCAAAAAGTTTAAAAAAATTTATATTAATTTGGTAAAATGTGTGTGATTATATGACAAGATTTTCTTTTTTTTTAACGCGTAATCGAACGAACATCGAGAAGTATTATTAAGTATATATACTATTTCATTTTTAGAGTAGAATAAAGAATTACTAATGAGATAAGATATTTTGTAAGATTTAAAATTTCTTTATCTTTGAAAGATTAAACATCTTAATCTCTTAATTTTTTTTAATCTAAGCAGATGATAGCATTTAGAAACCAACAAACTAAATCATTAGCTAGTAGAAAGATAATCTTCCGATTCATTATTATCCCGACTAAATTGAAATATTTAATAAAAATTGCTGCTCTGATGGACAATAATTATTCTATATATATATTCGACAACTGCTTTTTGTTTCAAATATATCAATAACTTAAAAAATTCTTGAAAAAGTTCCGAGAATAACATGACAGAATAGCATCACATTTTTTATTATAATAAGTATTATAATAAATATGTAATAAAATGTATCATAACAAAAAATTTATTGACGTCATGAAAAGGATATATATAGTATAAAATAAAAAGGCAGAAACGAATGTCTTTCCGTATTTATAAGAAAAAAAAAATAAAAAATCTATAATATATTAACTAATAAATTAAAATATTAACCAATAACAAAATGATATAAATCAAAATATTAATTAATAGTAAAATACAATAAATAAATAAATATAACGAGAATAAACTTATACATTATGAAGTATTATATTGTAAATACATTCATACTTATATAAGTTGTTTCTTACATAATAATGAGTTGACTTTGTTGATAAATTATTATCAACAAACAAAATATGATAAAAATAACTTTTCTATAAGGAAAACGCTATTTATATTTATTGCAAAAGTTGCAACATTACATGCTTAAATGATTGGAAAATAAGAAATCTGTTAATAATTTTTAATATTTTAACTTCTATATAGATTTTTTCTATATAGATTTTATTCACGAATATAAATCGCAAATGCTTGTAATGGAAATCAAGGAAATGTGCATTAAATAATAGGCACATATAGTATTAGGTATTGGAATTAATTCGTAGCGTTTTACAAGTGATGGGAAGTACTTTCATTAATGTATTTTTTAATGCTCATGTGAAATAAATAACATTCTTTCATTAAAAAACGCTACGAATTAATTCCAACACCTAATATGTTTCAAAATAACTCTTCTTAACTTGATATGCTACAGATGTTTTTACTGACAAATGATCAAAAAACACGTTTGTTAAATACTTCTGTGTCAATTACAAATGATTTTGACATTGTTTAAACGTGTCATACCATCATATGGCCTTGGCATTTTAAAACGTTCGCGGCCGTGCGATTAATCATTTTTCTACATTTCCGCAGTCAATTCAAAAAAACGTGATTTTGATTCGTGACAAATTTAATTATTTAAAAGTTGACTTTGACTGAAGTATACACTTTGATAAGCACATGTAAACAAAGAATCATCAAAGTGAAAGCTATTACTACTCCTATTTATTACTTGTCAGCAAATGAATAAAATATTAAAAAGTTAAAACCAAAATATAAAGTATTATTACGTATAGGTGATAATATAAGTGTAAAACTTTCGTCATGTAGCACAAATTATTATATTGTGCGAATATTTGTATTGTAAAAAAAATATTTATATATTCTACAAATTTACCGGAATCAATGATAGAATATAAACACATATACTTTTTTAACTAACATATAAAAAATACATACGTCTATATATGTAAAAATGAACTTATTATATTGTTTTTTTTTCACACATGTTGTAAATATTATGTACTCTTTGAAGGATAAGAAATATTAATAATTGAAAAAAAAATTACAGAAAGGGATCGAGCACAAAATAAATTAAATTAAAATTAACTTATACTTATTATCAATGCAACTGAAGAAGAATGATCTCATTCGTATCGTGCGCTGTCAACTATCACGCACAACGTGTCACGTAATCAGTACTTGTTACCTACACAGTAACTGCAGTAATCTAATTCCTTCCAATTTTAATCAGAAGATCGAATACATCTTATCTTATAGTATGAAGACCTCAGTAAGAAAGTATTAATTATCTTTTTTGCATCTAATAAAATAATACTTTATTATCCTTAGTAAATTAAAGTATTTCTAATTAGTCTTAATATATTTTCACAGTAAGAAGTATAAGTTAGACGTAATATTTCCGTGATGTTTTCACAAAAACATTCAAGAATTATTTCGACATCAGAGCATTATCCAACAAATTTTCTGCTTGAAAGAAATTAAGTAGCTGGTAACAAAACAAATACATAATTTACACATGCAATTTTCACGTTATCTCTGATTGACAGCGTCATATTTACTTATTGCGTAAATTACTGTTAGGGCTGGGCATATATTTGAAACACATTATTTGCACAAGTGTATTGTATATACCGTATTCCAATTACGAACACATTACGTATTTAAAATCGAAAGATTGAAAGTTTGTTTGTATTTTGTAATTTAAATAATAATATTGATTATCAATTAGTATTTGAAATACAAAATGCAAAATATAACTGTTTTACAAATAAAAGCTTCTCAAATAAAAGTATTTCAAGTGTATACCCCAGCTCTGATTATTATAAAACATCATTCTTTCAAAATAATGGACATAAATAATGTACAATAAGGTACAATTTTAAAAGAAATACTACGCAAAAAACTATTACAAAATAATAATACGCTGAAGTTTTATTCATGAGAACATAAATGACTCATAGTACGCTCGTTATTGTATTTGACATGGTTCATCGTAGACAGCAACAAGCATTATATAATGTAAATGCATATTTTGACAAATTGATATTGTTTTGCTAGAATGCTAATTGCATACTTCAATCAAGATCAAGCTTAGAATTAAAATCGTCAAGCTTACGGAAATATGAAAAAATGTGAAAAACATTGAATGAATTATTTAAAAAAAATAATTTCACTTTTTTTTTTTCTATACAAAACAAGGTAGATATTTAATAAGATTATATTATATCGTATTAATAAAACTGAAAGAAATATTATTATATTATTATATTATTATTTCTTCTTAAGGAATAAAAATAAAAAATAAAATATTCTTGACCTAAATAAAAATCTGAACGCGTAAATAAAAAGATGCATATTGTGACAATTTATTTTTAATATTTTTATAATAAAGTCTCTTTTTAATACTACTCTAAAAAATACAAATTTTTTGTGCTAAGAAAAAAATTTATCAGAACAAATGAATAAATCTTTTATTTTATGTCTCTGCAATCAAACAAATTTATTAATTTTAATTTTTGCAGGCCAGAATAGCGAGCAGCCATGGTAAAAGCATACAACGGCGCATTGGTCCTTGCGGACATTTTGCTACTTATTTTGAAGATTCTATATTACATTTGCGAAAGCGTGTATAAATTTTTCGTTCCAGCGGAAGAAAAAAGCGTGGCTGGTGAAATCGTTCTGGTATGTATCTAATTTGAATTTTTTATTACATAAATCGTACAGACGTAAATAATTATATTAATATGTTTTTTATTAATAAAGTTGTATATTAATTATTTTTATATAATATTGTTTCATATAAGATATAATTTATTTTATATAAGAGAGATAAATAAAAATTAAAATACATTTATTTTCAATCTGTATATAATACATGTACGTTGATTACATTATAAATTGATGATAAATTAAATTTAATATTTATATCTAGTAAAAGATTCTTTATAAAGTAATTTGCGAAAGAGAGATGCTAAAAGTGTGATAACTCTATATTTTAAGTTACTATGTTTTTACAGATAACAGGCACTGGTCATGGTATTGGAAAAGAGTTAGCTCTTCGTTATGCATCATTAGGCGCAACAGTGGTTTGCTGGGATGTGAATCAAGAATCAAACGAAGAGACAGTGAATGAGATAAAAAAAACTGGAACAGCTGCAGCATATGCATATCAGTACGTTTATATCGTTTACTCTTTTACAAAATGCAATAAAACTTAGAGAAACATAATAGTGAAACGTTCGATTGAAAAGTGTTCGAGGAAAATTCAGCAACGTTTGCGTCTTGTTTCGCAGATGCGACGTGTCAAACAGAGAGCATGTCTTCAGCGTAGCCGAAAGAGTCAAGCAGGAAGTTGGCAACGTCACTATTTTAGTTAACAATGCTGGTATAATGCCTTGCCATGCATTTCTCGATCACACCACTGACGAAATTAAACGAATCTTCGACATTAACGTGCTGGCTCATTTCTGGGTAAGTTAAAGAACTGACACAAATTAATTAAATATATACATATATGTGTAAAAATAAAAAAATTTATATATATCAACTTGACAGTCCTAATTACTAGTCTAATTCTAATTATGAGTCGCAACGTCACCTCTTCTCTTTAATAATTTCTTAAAACTTACTCTTTTACTCTTTTATTTACATATCTGTTAGATAAATTATCACATCATTTTTTTTATCTGAAGATAATACTAGTCTTTAATTGTATTTAATATACTAATACATTATAATATGAACTAAAGTAATGCGAATTTTGACACTATAAAAATAATTATACATTAAAGAAATTTTACAGAAAATAATTATGGAAATAATTAAAAATAATTTAAAAATATTTAAAGCATGTTTATGTAATCCCTGCCGATCATAATTTAGATTTATGCACAAAACATTCTTTGAGTATTTCTTTAAAATTTACAAAAGGCTTATTAAATATATAGTAATTTCTTTAAATATTTACTGTTTACATTGATATTAACATAACATTTATATTGACATTGCATAAACAAATTTTGTAAATGTTTAATCATTAAATTTACACAAATTAATAATAAAAATTACTTAAGCTTTAAATGAATCATAATTATAACTGTTAGCTTATTTTATATACATAAAGTGACTTGATGCTATCATTTCTAAACACAGTGCAACATATCACTTTTCACAAACAAGTCATTATTCACTATTGACATTTCTTGTATTTGAATTCTATTGTTTATGATATTTTTAGATGCTACAAGCATTTCTACCGAGCATGATCGAAAAAAATCACGGCCACGTAGTTGCGCTCTCGTCACTGGCTGGAATTGGTGGTATTCCAAATTTAGTTCCCTACTGCGCTTCAAAATTTGCAGTTAGAGGTAAGCTATTTTATATTTAACTCGATTTTAATTGCTCTTTATTGCACAAGAAATGTTAAATTCTTAATTTTATTGACACAAATATTGTAGGACTTATGGAATCAATCAGCGAGGAACTACGGATATCCAGCAAAGGAAAATCTTTAATCAAATTTACTACTATTTATCCGTATATGGTTGACACTGGACTTTGCAAAAAACCAAAAGTAAAGTAAGTACACGATGAAATTATATAAACAATGTTTACGCAATAATGTTACGTAAACGTAATTGGAACTTATATTTAACAATTAATTAGTATAGTAGTGAAGTATAGTAGTATAGTAGTGAAGTATATGCTATTACTAAGTAAAAATACTGATTAAAATTTGTAATTATATTGTCCACTCTCAAAAAAGTTGATGAATATGTTTAAGATATATTTGTAATCAATCCTTATTTTTAAATTTTGAAGTATAGAAGAAGTTAATCATACAGCCATTATCATCTTAAGACATTAAGACTTGACAAGTTTTGAAATAAGAATTATAAATATCGACCTTTAAGTTACAATAGCAAATGTATATAGGTATACATATATATACAATTACATATTGCTAATTAATTACGCTTTTTTTACATGCAGATTAGATTTTTGGATGCGAGGTGAGCTACTAAAGACACACCTCATTAAGAAATGACAATGGAATCGACGTCGATTTGATAATTTCGATTTGATGTCGATTCCATTGTCATTTCTGTGGAAAAATAAAATTTTATTTACCTCAGATCTTACATTAAACACTTCCTAGTAATCCGAATAAGATTATAAAATATTATGAAATATTGGATTTTTTACATTACTTGGCAATAAATATTTTTATTCGAACAGGTTCCCGTCTGCCATGCCGTTGGTTTCACCGGGGCAAGCAGCCTCACGAATAATTCACGCGCAGAGGTGCAACTATCGCGAAAAAACTGTGCCTCCATTCTGGTTGTTATGCAACGTATTATTAAGGTAAATAAATTTCAAAATTGCGTTTCGCGGGTTTCCTCCGTGTCCAGATCATTTCTTGGAATGCCAACGTCATTAGGCTGCTCCTCGCTCTGATGAAGTAAACTGCAAGGTTCACGTTGGCGTTTCAAGAATAGATCTGAACACGGAGGTAACCCGCGAAACCTATAATCTTTATATAGAAATTCGTTGGAACCTCAAAAATATTATCACATTCCGAAATTATTCACAGTAGATAATATAATGTATGAAGATATTATCTTCGAAGAAAAAAATATACAAATAAAATATTTTTAACATTTAATTAATATTAATGAGAAAAAAAATTAATGCGATAATATTAATAAAAATGAAAATCTCAAGTAGAAACGAAAAAAGTAACATTTTATAAAATTTTAGACTTTTTCCCGACGATGCGATACGCTGCTTAGTGGACTTTTGCGATAGCGGTGTCGAGGCGGACAGTTAACAATTGCAAAGAAACATCTCTGATTGATTAAAAACAAATGTGTGAATAAAATTTTTTTATATAATTATCCAATATACTATTGTATTATTTATAAGATGTTGTACAAAATCAGGGTTGTCGACTTATTTTAAAATAAGATATCTTTCTCTTTTCAAAATTTCAGAAACTGTCTCTACTGTACTCGATTATTCTATATATAAGAAATAATTATCTATTAATTAATTTAATTAATCGTTGTCAAGAATTAATACATGTAAACGCGCAAATCCAGATATTTTATATTGATAGTAATAATTTATATTGATAGTAATAATAAGTATAATATAATAAATAAATTTTTCGTATAATGTTAAAAGAAGTCGTTATGAACGTCGTATTGCTTTCTAATGGCGTCAGCACAATATGTCATAAATCGGTTGCTCGGACAATAAAGTTTTGTTCTGCTTAATTAATAACAAAATTGGTATAATGTATTTATAATGCTAAACTGAACTGTTGTTATATTATCAGATATTGTTATTCTATATATTATTAATATTTATGTTTATTATACGATAAAGCATAAGATATGTATAATGATCGTTTAATAATATAACCATTGTCTTTATATATGCAATTATACATATATAAATTATATATGTAAATTATGTTACAAATAGCATATACGAGAGATACACAAATAACATAATATAATTTGATAATATAAGTTTTGGAGAAGATTTTTGCACTTTAATCTAATGCACATAAAGAAAGCGAAAAAGAAGATAAAGCATTATGAATATTACATGTATAAATATTACGTGTATAACATAAAGAATTTATGCAACAAAAGTTGGAGTTTTTGCAGGGTTGGCAAGTAACGTCGTTACTGTTACAAGTTACTTTTTTCGTTAACGAATGGATAACGATGTTACATTTTCTTTTGAATAACATTCATAGTAACGCAATTACATTTTCGGAGTAATGGTAACAATTTCACTAGTTACTTTCATCATTACTTTATTTTTAACTACGCAAAAGTTTAATCGTAACTATAGTCCTAGAAAACAGAGATGAAACATTAACAGTCCGATTGGCTAAATCATGACGTCTTTTTTTCATTGTATTCATAGTTTACACGTACAGACTAACTCAGATATAATCTTTACAGTATATTTAATTTCTTAAAATAAAACTTTTTCTGTGTCATATCTTACAAAATTAAATATATGTATATAATGCAGACAAACAATATTATTTTTTTATTATAATATAATTTTATCCTTAGAATATTTATGATGAATTATTCATATCTTGTTTCTTTTCTTCGAAATATTGTAACTGGCTAAATATTAGGTGTTGGAATTAATTCGTAGCGTTTTTTAATGAAAGAATGTTATTTATTTCACATGAGCATTAAAAAATACATTAATGAAAGTACTTCCCATCACTTGTAAAACGCTACGAATTAATTCCAACACCTAATAATTCTTTCTATCCTTTTTTTCTTTTTAAATATACAACTTTATAAATGTTTTTTAAAGATGTTAAACTATATATAAAAACTATATATAATTATATATAACTATATATAAATACTATATATATATATATAACTATATATAAATATATATAAAAATCTTCATAATGTTTGTATATTTGCAAAAATTATGGAAATTATTTAAAGATATAATTTAAAGATATCTTATTAAAAGTAATACAAAAAATAAATTTATTTAAGTATAAAAATTACAAAAAATATGATATGTATTATGTGATATGACAGCATCTATTTCATTCATGAAAATAATGCACAATTATTATGAGCATATATTTTTTGAACTCTATTTCTCTAATAAAAAATAGAATTTTCACATCATTTTTACATTTACCGAAAAAATCTGCATATAATATTCTATTAGTGTTAAGAAAAAAAAGTAATGAAAATGTAATGATTTTTTATATTTTGAATAACGATAACGGTAACGAGTTACTTTTGCAAATCAATAACGAGTAATGAGAACGAGTTATTTTTTAAGAAAAAAAACAGTAACAAGTTGTAAAACGATAACATTTTTATGAGGTAACATTGCCAACCCTAGAATTTTGGTATGACAAGTATCAATAATAATATATATCACGCCAAAAAATTAAGAGATCATTTACTCTGCATTCTAAAAATAAACAATTTTAAAAAGAGAGAGAAGTGCAACTTTGTTAAAAATGATCATAATAAAATGACCCAAAATGCTTGAAATCTTTACTTTTTAGATTGTTTATTTAAATAAGATCTGATCTTAAATAAGATTTTTTATGAAGTTACACAAGGATACAAATTTTTAAATTTTTTACAAATTTTGCAAAGTGTTCTATGGAGTAAATTAAAAAATTTCATACAAAAGTAATTTGTAAAAGAGAAATACCGTATTACGGCACTTGGTATAGCGCCAAGACACTGCCAAGTCTCCAAATTAATGCTGAATGAGCTAACCTATGACAAATCTTAGAAAAAAATTTTTTTATAGTTAAGCATTGAAATAATGTTATTTATAAATGATTTAAAATTAGATAAGATCGATAATTCTTAGCGAAGCGATGATTTATAATGAAGAAAGATTAAATTTTCTTTCTATTCTTATTTTATATATATATATATATATATATATATATTTTTTTTCTTATTATATATGAAAAATGTATTTATTTTATCAAAATAATGATTTTGTGTTTTTTGTTGTATGCTTTTGGGCTTATTTTTGTACTTTAAATAAATTAATGATTTTTTAAAGATCTCGAGAAAATTAATTTTTAAATTAATTTAATATAACCCATTAAAAAATTATTACCTATCTCACATCTTAACTTAACTTTATGAAAAATGTGCTTAAGTTTTTCTGTGTGTCATATGGCTCTAAACAAATTAGCTAATCACAGTAAAGTAATAAAACCATAAAGATAATAACATAAGCAACAAATTCAAAATGTTGATTTGTTTATTACTAACATCTTATTACTTTTGTCTATTACTATATTTACGTTTTTTTTTATGTGTCACAACCTTTAGTCTGGATCCTTATGCAAACACTGACACTTTAACATCGAGTGCTGATTGATGAAAAATGAATTATGGGATGAAAAATGAATTATGATTTTTAATTTATCCTTATTACCTATTTTTTACGCTGTATGTGTCAAAACATCGATGTCTGCATGAGGATCCGGACTTATCAATCAATAATAACATAAATAATAATATCTTCACGTTTCTGAGCATTGTGATTCATTGTGTCGACGAGATACTATTAATTAAAGACAGCCAGTCTTAAATAAATTTTCGTGATCAGTGGAACTCGAGGAATCCAAAGATAAAGAACAATGATATCATCAATTAATATAACTGATTGATTACAATTGATATAAATTTGCTTATTATATAGAGATGATAACTGAAAAAGACATTGTAATTTTGCAGCAATATATAAGATATTATAGCATTACAAGTATGCATATTTATTTATACAGCATTTAATAAATAAAAAATCAACATTTATATAATAAAAATAAATTTAGTAGTGCATTGATGATCAAACTTGGACAATAACATTAAAATTACAGTTTTAAATAAAAATCGAATTTATATATTAAGTTTCATATATATATGTCTACAAAACTAATAATAAATTATAAAATTATTACCATTATTAGTTGCTTATTCTTAAGCTAGGTTGTTCCACCTTTCGATAACTTCCACTTTAGCTCACTGTCTTACTCTCTTATTCTTTTACTCTTTTATTTATCCAGTAGATAAATTACCACATAGTTTATCCAAAGATGGAACAACCTTAACTTATATAAACAGTCATTCAAAGGACCAGTCGTCTTTAAATATCTCATCGATGCTTATATCCACAATTATTCAAGAATTCAAAATTCTTTCTGTCCCTGGTGAAAGATTTCAGATATTCTTGATGAAAATAAAAATCGGAGTGTCAGTTGAATGTAATGGGAGAGAAACGTAAACGAAGCTTCTATAGGAGGCGAAAATTGAAACAACGAAATGTAAAAGAAGTGTAAACATTACATTTGACTTTTATTTTACATACAACTTTTATTTTAATATTACGCTCCGATTTTTATTTCCATCAAGAATGTCTGAAATCTTGGATTGATTTTTAGATAATAAAAGATAATTTTAATCTTTAGCTTCAAAGGTCATATTCTGTTTACATATGCGTTCAATGTCATATTCTGAGAGTCAACGCGATATGGCAAATTGATCTTTTGAAGCTTTTTTTAATTGATCAGTTTGTAAAATTCTTTCTTCTAATTGTTCTATCAAAGTATTTATAGCGAGACTTTGACCACAGCCTGAGATAAATCTTGGAGATAAGTACCTAGCTCTACTACTCGTAATTTTTCTTTAAAACAAATTGGAAGAAGTTTAAAGCGAGAGTATGGTAAGCAGAAATTATGAGCGACGACCGAATAAAATTTTATCTTTTTTTTTATTATTTTATAACAAATATTATCCCTCTAACAGACTCAGCTTTTGTAAAAATAAAAATTATCAAAATGCTTTTATATTCAATAATTTATTGTTTATTGCTTAAAAAATTTTTATATAATAGCACTATAATTATTCTTTATATATAATGTTAATGTATATATAATTAGCATAATTATAAAAACATAATTGTATAACAATACAATTACACAAGGTCATCAAAATTAATAAGTTTTGTCATGCGATCGAAGGAACCTTTGGTTATCTCATATACATTTTCCCATGACCAGTTAATATGTTGATGATGGTCTCATGGAGATTGAGATCTCAGAATTATGTATATAGGAGAATAATAGCTCAGTATAGAGTCCAGATAAAATTATATAAAATGATACAATGTAAAACATGTACATTGTAAAATTGATGATATAAAAACATCAGCGCAATAATTAAAAAAATTTGTTCTCTATTTTTTAAAATCTATCTACCTTCAACATCTTTCATTTTTTAAATCATTTTGTAAATCTTTTTTGTCCTGCTGGTTGTTAAAGGGAATATTTAAGTTTTAATTTGAACTATTATTTATCCTACAATGATATTTTGCTGTGTTGACGCTATTAAAAGATATTACAAAGTATATTAAATTTTGGTGATCCGTTTTTTGAGTGAATGTACACGAAATCATGAATAGAAAAATGATTTTGACATGTACAATTATACAAGAATATAACTCGAACGGTACTTTAGCAGTGCTGCCAACCTCTAAAAGCCTGCCAATATTTTGTCTCTCGTGTGCTTTTGCCTTAATATTAATTACAAATAATTATTATTACTGAATTTTCCTAATTTATATAATTTATTTATTGTTCTTATTAAAATTTTATAATATACAGTTGAAGCATTATTTATCCTCAAATTTCTAAATTTTAATATGACTTTTTTTCTCGAAATGAAAGTTAAATATCTCTTATTAAATATATTATTTAATTTAATTTAATAACTCTTCAAAATAAGATACAAATGATAAGTAAAAACTTAAAATAATCTAATATTTTTATTTGTTTTATCTTTCTTTACCTTTATCAAGTAAAGATATATTTAATGTACACTTATAAGACATTAAAATAAAGCCATTTCTATCTTTTACTTATGACAATTTGAATAATGTTTTTATTAAAATTCATTTAACATTGTAATAATTTCAGTCATAAAATATATTATAACACTACTTCGTATTTTTTAAATAAACTGCAAGTCATTTAGGGTTCATAGCAAATCGACACCGATTTATTAAAATTTCTACATAACATATTTCTACATAATATATTTCTACATAATATATGTCTATTTAATTTTATTACTATTCTCTACATCTAAACATCGATTATTAAAAGTTCAAGCAAATGGAAAACATACGTGCAATTCTCTGGTTGTTGTATTATATAAACACGTTGTGAAAATCTTCATAAATCCGGCCCTGAAATCAAGTTTAAGATTTCGCAAACCGACAGTTCGTTTCTGGATATCTGCCAGGACACATGTGTCTTACATCTATACGGTTAACTTCAATTTATCTTTGCTTTTATTCGCTAACTGATCTCGTGCTGGACTTGGCCTGAATGGAATAAACGAATACATATTTTATATATAAATATACGGCTGATAAAATACAGCTGTTACGCAGCCGATCGATCGTTGCAAACATCTGTAATTAGGTAGGTATAGTCGAGCTTGTCGCAGCCGTATTCGGCTCAGTTCTCACTTTCGTTGTTAGAAGAAAACATGTTCTACTTACTATAGTTTCGTCTAGTTTCTATGCAACAGTCCGGAAAGGCATAGTTAAATTGCGATCTCATAATGAAAATCAAATACAGGCATTTGTTCGAAAAATTTTTTGTCATAATTTTATATTCCATTTCAAAAAATATATACAATACATATACATATACATATACATTTATATTTAGAGTGAAAAAAAATAAGTACTAAACAGCTGTTATTTTGTTGGAATGAGAATAGATAGAATGAATTATATCATATTGTAGGAAAAACTTGTTATTTATGCTAAAAATAGACAGAATGAATTAATACCATATTGCAGAAAAAACTTGTTATATGCACGTGAATTTGTAAAAAATATATATAATAATTTTGTAATAAAGTAGCAATTCGGCGTTTTATCGATCAATAATACACGTTTTCGAAATAATAAGCATCTAAATTTGCACAATAATCGAGACATTTTTGAAAGTTATTATATTTTATAATATTAATTTATGATTGCTAGTGTTAAAAATATCTGTACGTATAAGAATTATATTACTGATACATGATTTCACAATATTTTTTCTTATATTTATTTATCTACAAATTTATAAATATTTATGTATTTATAAATATTTATATCTCAAGTAAAATCTCGAATATAAAAATACTACAGCGAGAAAATTCTCAATGAAAATAAATTTAAAAAAATAATTATTATTATCATTTTTCAATTCAATCAGCACTTAATTTCTGAGCTAAAGATTTGAAATTTATCAATTATAGATTGTAGTAACGGCTATCTGTCTTTGAATCGCGCGTTGGTAAAATTACTAATCACATATTTCAAGTGTTCTCAGATATTAGATAAATAATTATGTGCATAATGTTCACATAATATCATGTGCTACGTGTAATATTTATTATAAATTAGTTGACATTTTATTTATATATTACACGCGTATTGTAACTTATACTAAACATAAACTGCTAATACAAATTAACAAATATTAATATTAATACTTTGACCACACTTTTCAGAAAAAAATTTGCTCGCCAGCATGTAATGACGAAAACTACTGGTTGCCGTCGGCATTTTTTGTAAGCTTTATTACAAATTAAACATAGGCCGTATTCAGAACGCGCTTACAACGATACGCGCTAATATACTATACTTTACGTTTACGCACATTATAAAATGTCAGAAATAAAAGCGCGCTTTTATCGATAAAAGCACATTATGAATATAGGCCATTTGATTTTTCATCACTGTTGTCTAATACCTAACATTCGATAAATTATCAGCGTACACATATCTTGTCACTTTCACACATTTTTAAGAGTATTTTCTTTAAGTTTATAAATACAGCTTTTGATTTATAATATATATATCATTTACTAATACAACTATTTACTAATACAACTGTATATGTATTAACTATAATATATATATATATATATATGTATCATTTATACTTTTCATAACAATATCAGCTAATAATCGCTAACTAGGGTCTGTTACATAATATAGGCCCGTAAAAAATCATCGATTATTTTTCTCACATTCGACTGTGATTGATCAATTTCTTACGGCTTACGGCTTGCAATTATGTAACAGGCCTTATGCCTGTTCTACAATTGAGTCGCAAATCATAAGCTGTAAGAAATTGGCCAATCACAGTTAAATGTGAGAAGAATAATTGACTATGATTGATTAATTTCTTACGGCTTATCGCTTATGACTTTATTGTAGAACATGCTTAAATCAACTTACGTACACGTGACTCGGTCGATAAAGGTGCTTCTACACAATTCGCAAATCGCAAGACACACAGATGAAAATCAACTGCATGTAATGAAAAAACAAACGCAATGCGTTTGCATTTGCAAACTATGTTTTACGATTTGCAAATTATGTAGAAGCACCTCGATGCACGGCGCGCGGTGCGACCTCTGGTGACTTCGTCGGAGTTCGAGTTTCGCTTTAGGATCCCCTTAATCCGGTTCTACATTAGTTGCAAGCTGATCGCAAGTTTGTTGCCAATATCTTAGAAGCGTTAATTTCAAAATACAAGCTTCAGATTGGCTGTCGCAACTTGCTATCAGCTTACAACTAATGTAGAACCGATTTTAAGCATTGACTAAATGAACTCACTTATACGTCAAATCGGCCGGTAACCGCTGGTTTAATGAATTCACGCATATGTGAGTCCGACCGTCAAAATATATCAATATTTTCTAAAAACTCTTTCAACTATATACAAAAATATTCTATCCGCAGCTTAAAACCCAAAATAAAATATAAAATAAATGTGCATTAATATATATTTAAATTGAATAATATTTGAAGACTTGACATACATTAACATAATAAAACATGCGAAAACTGCCGAGATTCACACAATCTATATAATTATTGGCACATCGAATTCTTAAAATATTGGTTCACAAATATTATTTATTTTACAATATTTACAATATATTATAATATTTAAGAACATAAAGAATTATTATTTATAAATTACAAAAAAAATTTAAATATATTTCAAAACATGAGTTTTTTTCAAAATATTTAAATATCTTGTTTTCTTAATAAATATTTTATTAATTCCTTTTATTCTTTCAGTTTATTTATTATGTGTATATTATTAATATTTGATATATTCATATAAGAAAATAACTAATTTTTCAGTTCATCATGAATGCATTTAACATCATACAAATTTTGTTAAACGTATTGCGACTTATATTGCAAATTCTTTACTACATCTGCCAAAGCGTGTACTACACCTTCTTCGGATTAGAAGAAAAGAATGTGAATGGTGAGATTGTTTTGGTACGTACAAAAAATATAATGTTTATTGCAAAAGTAGATATTTAATATTAAAAGTTATTAAAGTATCAATTTGAAAAATTTTTTTATTGACGAAGAAATTAAACAAATACATTTTAATAATAAAATTAATTTACATGCTATGTAAATTACAATATTTAATTTATCTTCATTTTATATACAATGTACATGTGAAACAATAAGAGATAATGAAAAATTTTTTCTTTTTAATTAAATATGTTAATTAGTAAATATATTAATTAAGATAAATATATGTTTAATATACGTTAAGGTAATATTAAAATAGATATAATGCAATATTAAAGATTAATCTCTTATGATATCATTTCCTTATTTCAAAAGTGGTATAACTCAAAAAATTAAGTTTCCTATAAAAGAGAAAAAACTATTTTTCGACTTGATAGAAAATTATTGAGTCAAATAATATCGATAAAAGGATATTATTGTTAGCATGATCAAATATTATTTTTGTCACGATTCTTAAAACTCTTTTTAAGTTATGGCAACTTTGACAAAATTTTATGAAGTTAAGTTTATTTTTTATAATTTTAGGATAATGTTTACTTAACATATTCATAATAATAATTCAAAAGTTATATTTTTTTAGTTATCATTTCTAAAGTAAAGAAGCGATATTAAATAGCACAAAACAATTTGTATTGAGTGAAAAAGTTTGTTTTATAGTAATTATATTTTTATATTATGTTTAAATTTACAAGATAACAGGTACAGGTCATGGTATAGGAAAGGAGTTGGCGATTCAATACGCATGCTTAGGTGCGAAAGTTGTGTGCTTAGACATAAACAAGCAAACTAATGAGCAAACAGCAAAAGAGATTAAAGAAATTGGCAAAGATGCATATGCATATGAGTATGTTTCTGTATTATTAATAATTAACATTTCTGTTAAACAACGAAAGATCACATCTCCGATTTTGTTCCACGTCTCTTTTTAAATATTTAGTCAATATAAGTAATTTATTATTTTACTAATATCGGCACGCGCATAAGAGAAGTATCAAATATATTTACAGTATATCTAAATTAATGCTAATTACAATTTTGCTTATAGATGTGACGTGACTAAAAGAGAAGATGTTTTTGCAATAGCCAAAAGAGTAAAAGAAGAAGTCGGTGATGTTACAATTTTAGTTAACAATGCCGGCATAATGCCATGCCATACTTTTTCAAAACATACGGTTGATGAAATCATACAAATATTTAATATTAATGTGTTAGGACACTTTTGGGCAAGTTAAAATTGGCCATACATATAATAAATATTAAATTACCTTTGCTCTTGAATAAATAATGCTTTTTTTATTTCATATTTCTTCAAAATAATTATTTAAGGATTTCCAATAATCATAGATTATAAATTTTTTTTTCTCGCAAAAATTAGCTTCAATTATTAATAATGCTAAAATATGCAAAATGTAACACACATAATATCATATATAAATTACTATGCAATTTTTTCAGATGTTGCAAGCATACTTACCAAGTATGATAAGAAGAAATTATGGTCACATTGTTGCATTGTCATCACTAGCAGGCATCGTAGGATTTCCCAATTTAGTTCCTTATTCCGCTTCAAAATATGCAGTTATAGGTAAATCTGATTTTTTCTGAAACCTTAAATTATGCACACACACACACACACACACACACAACAAAACACACTGCTAAAAATTACTCCTCGATTTTGGACAGAAAAAGAATTAATGTTGAAACAATTCGATCACAATGTCAGTGCAATTGATCAATTCATTCTCCAGCCGAGATCTCGAATCAATTTCTGACATGAAAGATACAAAACTTTATAATATCTATTCTTTTTTTATACTACAGTCAGAACTTACAAAAAATAAATAATTTAACTTTATAAATATTCAAGTGCTTCCAGCTTACTGGAATAAGGTATAAGGTTCTATTTTCAGGTATAATGGATGCGCTTGAGAACGAATTACATGTATCTAACAAGGAAAAATCTTTAATCAAATTCACTACTATCTGTCCCTACATGGTAGATACGGGACTTTGCAAAAAGCCAAAAATTAATAAAATGTACGTTTTTATAGAAGAAATTAATACAATTAATACAATTAATTTAAACAGATAAATGTAATCATGCAAATACGACAAGCTGAGGTATTAAAATTGATAATAAGCATTTCTATCTAATCGTAGGTTGGAAATATTTTTACAACTAAACTCACCGAAAGATACAGCTGCACAAATAATTAAAGCTCAACGACAAAATGTACAAATAACAACTATACCATCATTTTGGTTACCACTCATAAAATGGATTAGGTAATTGCAATATTTACATACATATAATTATGTACTAATAATCTGATCTTTACAATTAGTATTTTGCAATATTTAGTATATCATAGTATTTGCATGGTATATTATATAATATTTATATGATTACATACACACGTATCTTGTGATATCAAATATTTTAAATGTAAATAAATATTTATAAAGTATAATATGGCAAAACTTTATATAGGATAAAAATGCACAGAAAAATAAATTAGAACATAACATCGCATTTTGTAATTTTTAATATTCTACATCAGTATATAATTAAAATATAGATAAATAAAACATTATAATTTTATTTTCAGGATTTTACCCAAAAATGCACAAACTGCTATAAATGATTTCGTTGATACTGGCGTCGAATCAGGAGAATAAATATAGAAAAATCTTGTACAGAGTGCGTCACCAAAATCCGGACAAATAAAACAATTTCTTTAAACAAAATGTTTTTCATAAAAAATTAAATATTATAAAAAATTCTTTTACATGGGGGATCCCTGTAGAGCACAATTATTCAATATATCCCCCATTAGCTTGAATGGCTCCATATAGTTAAAAATGAAAATTATTTACGAAATATTTTATATTTCACATCAAAATGTGCTAGAATAAAACATAAAATACCTCGTAATATAAGTTACTAATCTGTCCATAATTCTCTTTTAAGAGAATTTTATATGTTTAACTTTTATATGTTTGCTGTAAAAAACAAAAATTTACATAATAATGACATATTTACATTGTGTTGATTTCTTTCTCTTCTCCTATTACTAAAATAACAAACGTGTTTGAAGCAAAAAAAATAAGCTTCATATATAAAGAAAATAAAATACTTGACTTAGAATCAGTTGTTCCACCTTTTGATAAATTTTACCTGTTAAATAAATCTGGCAATTCGCGCATGTGATTGGGTAATCTTGCTTCACTCTGAGAAGCTGATTATTTTTTAGATTTGTTTGAAGAGAGTTTAAAGAATAATCAGTGTGATCGGAATTTTTTGTATTTATATAGAAATGTATTTACATACCTCTTCAAGATTTGACTTTTAAATGCAAGAATTTAATTAAATGCATTTAATTAAATGCGTAAAAATGCAAAAAAAACATTGATCATAAAAACATTGATGTATTGCTGTATTATTAGTTTTTGCTATGTTTTTGCTTCATTGTAGCCTAGTTGTTCTACATATTGCAATAGAGGAACATAGACAGCTACAATCAGATAAAAAACAAAATTTATTTTTTCTATTATTTTTATTCAAAGGAAATCAATATACAATGTTTGCAAATATATTGTTTTATATTGCGTCGCATATGACTCAATTTTTTAAATACGCTTGTATATCTAGCCCAAATAACATGCATATTACACAAGATATCTTAAAGATGTCTTTTAGACATACGACATTTAAAAAAAAATCTTATAAATATTTTATGCAACATAAATCTGGAAGGTTATCGCCATATTCAATCAATTAATTAAAATATTAATGAGAGAAATTTTTTATTAAAATTTCTCATAAAGAAATTACTATTATAACTTTGCTTATTACGACTAAGGCTGTGTTCCAAAATTTACTGCCAGTATTGAAAATATAATGCACATAAAAATTAGACTTTCGATACAATAAATTTTAGAACACAGCCTAAGCCAATAAGTGCAATAAGCGACACTAGCGTGTTCTTTTACGCGAGATCATGCGAGATTACAATTCACTTCATCAGTGCGAGGAACATACCCTCCTGATACAAAAAAAATATTGTGTGTTGACGGTTCATTTCCTGTTGTTTGTGTTGAATTTTTTAACATATTTGAATGTAATGTATTATAATGTTCAGGTTATGTTAAGAATTTTGTTTTAATATATTGAATATCAACATCAAAATATAGTTTATGAATAAGTGAATAAGTAACGTAAAAATAATGTGTTCTGAAACATAAATTTTAAGATGAATTAATAAAATACGTATTAATTTAATATATTATAAATATAATATATTATGTTAATTATACTAAAAATATATATCTCCACAGTTTACAAACTGTATCAGCAATAATAATTTAATTTTTGTAATAATTTTTTTACATAATATCTATTTTTTCTATTATAATATATTCATCTTATAAATTCTCTAATAGTGTAATAATACTATAGATTTGAACACTGAAATAATCCGCAAATCGTATAGCTTTTGTATAGAAAGTACCCGTAGAAATCCCAGAAGCAATATTCTAAAATATTAACAATAATCAAGAATTATTTATATTCAACATTAATCAATTAATTTAAAGTCAATTATTTTAAAAATATGTATTTAATAATAGCACTATGATAAATAATATAAATAATATAAATTAAATTAATATTATTTATACAAGCTATTAAAAAAAACAATTCAGCATTTATAGCAGTATGATAGACTTATACAGTATGGTAGATTGCACACTATACTGAATAAAAAAACTGTAATAAGTCGACCTTAAAGATCTTAAAGATTCATTCATTTATTATATAAACAAATTTATGTTAATATGATGAATGACTTATTTTCTATATTTAAAATGTTTTCACATGACCTCCTTTCCATGCTTAGCATATTCTTCTTATGAAGTTTTACAGAATTTTTTCTGCAGAACGTAGTTGTAAACGTTAAGGTAAACATCGCATGCGACGCGTAGAAAAAAGTAAGTCCATTCATAATGTTGATTTTCTAAAATATTTATATCTTAGAAATGGTTAAGATTTCAACCTACACTGTTAGAAATGTTCTTAAATTTGATTAAATTTTAATGTTTAGTTACACAATTTGAACTTAATTTTATGACATTACATTATAAATTTAATGTATTTATAACTAAAAAGTATATTTGTGTACATATACATTAACGTATTTTTCATAAATTTAATGTACACGTTCATTTTTTAAGTAATTACTGTAACTTAATTTTCAGTTGAATCATTCATTACTTTTAATTTCACAACTACGAGCTTCATTTACAGGAAGCTCGTTACATTTCTAACACTGTATGTTCACTAAGATTTTTTTACTCAGTGTAATATGTACCTATTTACCTGCATAAATGCTAAATAGATTTTTTTATGCGACGCTGCTTCGTATAATAGCATCGCATAGATGCAAATACGTTTTTTACAATTATAACACACGACGGTTGAATTTTATTCCAACTTGACGTAACTCTGCGTCTTAAGAATATTATTAATTTACTGAAGATGGCCAGATTGTGGTGTGAAACGTTTAATGTTTTTATTGTAATTTGTAATGCAAGAATAATTAAATGTCACAAACTATAACTTGTGCTGTGGTTCTTTATGCTTTTCTTTTCATATTTTTGTATATTTTACATTATTTTATATTATATAATATTAGGTGTTGGAATTAATTCGTAGCGTTTTACAAGTGATGGGAAGTACTTTCATTAATGTATTTTTTAATGCTCATGTGAAATAAATAACATTCTTTCATTAAAAAACGCTACGAATTAATTCCAACACCTAATACATATATACTTTTTATAATATACTATTATTTAAAAGATTTCATCGATGTACATGCCTATCCAGAAAATCAAAAAATTTAGAAAATATTTATAAAATATTTTTATTTTAACTACATTAAACTTTTAACATAATTTATCAATTGCTTTCCAAAAAATATATCGATTATTGTTTTTGCCTGTATCACTAACTATCAATTCCATTATTTGAGAATTAATTTCTGAAAAGAGTGGCACGCTCGCCGTGCCTGGCGCTCAACTGTCTTGTGATTACCTTATTGTCTTGTGCCGACCTTGAGAGCGGTCATGGGAAGACGCATTTCGGTCACGTTTCGTTTAATGCTACCCCTCATCCGATCGCTCACGAGAACTGTTTTGAAAGAGAATTAAATGAGGAAAGGAAAAAACTAGTAACTTATCAAAAAACATGCTATAAAAAATTAAAATTAATCTTTTTTTTCTCTGCATTTTCATGCATGCACTTAATAGAGCATTTTCCTTTTTTTATTCTCGCATTTAAAAGTCAAAACCTAAAGAAATTGTTTTTGTAAATACACAAATAGATAAAAATTTTAATTATGTAACATTTATATTTAGAACTAAACGTAAAAACAAGTCTAACATGTTTATGATGTACGCTATGTTACACGCAATAAAATATTATTTCAGTATTGTTTATAGAGTGTTAGACAAAAGACACGGACAGCTACTACGATAAGATAAAAAACAAAATTTATCTTTTTCATACTATAAATAAATATAATAGATTTAATTTTCTGTAATAAAAATATAAATAATAACAATAATTATATTAGGACTCTCGAATTTTAAACAATACAAAAAGATAAATATAATAGATTAATAAGAGTCAGCAACGATAAACGGCGCAATTATTTAGTGAACAATCAGATATTGGAATACTCAGATATTGGATTGATGTCTTCTTTATTTTAAACGTTTCAACTCTTTTTGGAGTCCTCCTCAACTACTTAACAACTTCATATTCATATAAATGAACAACTATATACATGTGTTTTGTTCGTTATATTTGCAAATTTGCCGTAATGTTTATTGTGTGACTCTTCAAGAATAATTCATATCTGAGTGACACGTCGTGACATGGACGTGTGTTCTAAAAATGTGTGATCTTTATATTAATTTGATTTTAATAATTCTACTTTTTACTTAGTGGCGCTTTGTATTCAAAGTAATTTAACATAAACGGTCTTGTTTCCAATCTTATTTATTTTTTAAGTTTTAATATGTTTAAGTAAATGTAAAACTTCAGTGCAATCCTTCATGTTCCGTGATGGTGAATCATTTGAATTGTTTACGCATATACGTAGGCTGCTGGAAAAGTTTCTGCAAACAATATGAAAAAAAAACATGTAAAATTTGATAAATGGCTTTATTGTTTTTCGAAGTATTCACCTTTAAGATCGATACATTTTTGCATACGTTCGAACTAATTTTCGAAGCATTTTTTCCTTTTAGGCTGTAATCTCAGAAATCAGTGTACGAAATGTTTCAATAGCTGCTTCAGGCGACTCAAATCGCTCACCACGAATCTTCTTTTTAATGTTTGAGAACAAAAAGAAATCATTAGATGATAAATCAGGTGAATACGGACAATGAGTCATCAATTCGACATTTTTACTGAATAAAAAATCAATGATTTGACGTGCTGTGTGACAGCTGGCGTTGTCATAATGCGACGATTTCGATTTGTTTTACGCAATTCATTTATGACTTCTGGCAAACAAATTGTTATATATCAATCAAGTTGTTGTATTTAATCCTTCGATCGTCTAAAGCCACGTTATCCGCTTGCCACATATCCGGTATAACTGAAGAAACAAGCAATCATTTGCTTAACAGCACTGCGTGAACAAACATGTTTCGTCACCAGTAATGATGTTGTAGATCAAATTTCACCGATCTCGGTTGAATTTCTTGAGCATTTCTTTGCTCCATTTAACACGAGTCTGTTTTTGAGCTTCGATCAAATTGTGTGGGATCCAATGACTGCAAAGTTTCCATACGCTCAAGTGATGCATGCAAAATCATATGTATTGCTTTCATGCAAAGGATGCCTGAATCTCGCGGCATGTTATATGCCGATCTCGTTCATTCATTTCACGCACAGCAACATTAATGGCATCACAGACATGGATGGATCTTCACGGAATTCGTCACAAAGAAAGGTACGTCCACGCTAGAATTCGACCAATTATAAACAGTCCTATTGGATGGTGCTTCAACTCCAAAAGCCAAATGAAGTCGATCGATGCATTGTTTCGGAATTAGATTACATTTGTAATCGTAAAAAATCATTGCCGCGAAATTTCCATTTTCTCACAAAATAACTTCTTTTAAAATACTATGCAAACAAAACTAGTTGGCTTGAGTAAAAACTGTCAACTGAATGATAGATTAAAAACGTCTAATTTTACGGATAGTAACAGAACGTTGGTGCCACTAGTATTAGATTGCAGAAACTTTTCCAGCAGCCTACGTACCACTTTGATAAGATTTGTTTTTTAAAAAAATGTCAGATTAACAACATGCATCTGTCAATTTGCAAGTGACTTAGGTATTCCGGACATATGAATTAATTATACTTGTATCATTCTTGTTGAAGAGAGCTCCAAAGAGAGTCGAAATATTTAAAATAAAGAAGACATCAATCCAATATCTGAGTATTGATTGTTTACTAAATAATTGCGCTGTTTATCGTTGCTGACTCTCATTAGCCTATTATATTTATCTTTTTGTATTGTTTAAAAATATAAATTATAAATCTAAAATTATTCTTCGAGAGAGAGATAAAAGCTTGATATTTTTTTTTAATTTTCAAGAAAACTTTTTTCACAGCACTATTACGTATATAATTATCTATAATTTACTTTTTTTTGAAAATTTTTTTATATAAAAACATATTAAATCAAATCCTTTCTCTCTTTCTTTCTTTTTTCTTAAATTTTATAAAACTTTTCTAGAAGAAGATGCAATATATATGTTGAGTACTCCGACCGGTAAGCTCTGTTTAGACACACTACTAGTGTTTGATAAGAACAATTCGTGGAAATCCGCCTAATTTTGTAGAATTTCGGGATGAAAATAGTCGGCCTTAAGTTAGAGCAAATCCTTGGCAAAATATGAAACTATCGTTCGAATAGTCTAACGAATATCACAAAAATATGTTATTCTCTTGTGGTTAATGAACAGTTTAACTATCAATGTGGAGCAATTCTATTTCATCGACTGGATCGATAATAAACAAAACTATTAAATAAGTAACTATACAAATGTCAAGAATAATCTTTATTACAATTTACTTAGCCTTCCTTATTTTAGCCGTCTTATATTGGATAATTGCATAATTTTTGTCTCTTTTATTGATAGAAAATAATCCGATTTGCCAACGTAAACAAGAGACCTTGGTTTATACAAGTTAAAAATCCTTAATATCAATAAAATTTGACAGCATAAGATATAAATTAAGAAAAAAGACAAGACTGTACAGATTACAAAAAATTTGATATTATAGTGTGTTCGAGATCAGTAATTCGAAAGAAAAGCAAGAATTCTTTCAGTCGACCGACATTAATTGTCATTGAACGCATGCATAAATTGAGCTCGTGATTTCATCTCGAGCATGATCTTAATCCTCATTAAAATCATCGAATTCGTCGTTCTTTGTTCTTTTTAAAAACAATTCGTTACACGCAAACAAGCTGTCGTTACCGGCAACGGACAATCGAAAGTTCTAGAACGATTCAATTCGCGCACGCGAGCGCCGCGCTCTAACGAATACGTCACGCGCTGTCACCAATCCCACGCACGGATTTTCTGCCGCGCATGACTGTTACGTTGAACGTCGCTAGAAAAGAATTCAAAGCGCCAATCAATTCTGTACACCTAATGCCACGTAATAATTACGATTGTGGCAAAATTTTATTGGATTTTTCCCAAAAGAGAAAGCTCAGGCCGAAAGCAATAAATGCTTCGATCTCGCCGTCCTCCTTCTTACTTCCAAAAAGTTTTTAGAGTTCTTAGAGTCATAATCTCGCTTCGTAAAATCGCCGTGCTAACCGTTTAGTGAAATCGCTATAAACCGAATCTTTCGAGAAGTGCCGAGAAAAATCGCCGAGATTTTCCATCACCGCGATTCCAAACTCAATTTGGAAAAGGTGACCGCATTTAATATTCTGTTAATCTAATCTTTAATTAATTATATCTTTTGACTTTGTAACTGAATATATTAAAGAAATTCTTTTGTTAAATTACAAAGAAACTGAGTTGATTTTACTGTCGTGCATCATACCAGCCGTGCGCTCTCACTCGAATTTTTCCGCGCGGTGCGCTCTCGCACATAGTGTATGGTAAAAGTTCTGGAATGGCTAATCTCAAAAAATATCAATTTATCTAAAAAAAATATTTAAAATAAAAGTAATAGAATTTTAAAAAGTAATCAGATAATGATATTAATTTGATTGATGATCTTGGAATGATCTTGGAAAGTTTTAAGGTCAACACAAAAATCTTAAATGGAACTTTCTATTTTTCATAGCACATCTTTATAGATCCAATGTTGAGACATTTCCAAAGCACTGCGGTAAACCTTTTCTTCATAAGAACTTTTCAAGTTATGGCATTTGAAAGTTATAGTACCACCGGCATTAGCATTAAATTTCTTGGAATCTATGATTTATACGGTCTTGCCTTTTTTCTTAATTTACGCATCTTATGCTGTCAACTTTTACTGATATTAAAGATTTTCACTAATTTGTTATAAACCGAGATGGTCTCTTGTGGGTATTAATCTTTTCCGTTGAATTTTTTATTCGCCACGGTATATAGTGTGTATATGTGTGTGTGTGTGTGTGTGTGTGTGTGCGCGCGCGTTATCCTCCCCATGTCTTATTCAAATGAAAAAACATACGATATGTTGCTAATTTTTGGTGTGTCGAGGTTCATTTGTTGGTGTTGAAAGATTATGGCGACAGCGTTTTCCTAATCGGATTCCTCACTCGCGAAAAATTTTTTGACACACACACGCACATATAAAAGATGTAAATCCGACCGGGCAACCTCCTTGCGGTATATCTTGGATGATGCTAATATCGGCGGGACTGTAACTTTTAATCTTCATAATTCGAGATTTATTTATTCAAAAGATACTTTATTATAGGGTTTTTGGAAAGCTCTTGACATTGGCTATTAGATTCTAGAATAAAAAGTAGAATGTTTCATTTTAAAAAATCGATGTGACCTTGATCTGACCTTGGCAAAGCCATCCAAGTTAAAATGATATGATCAATAAATAGATTTTTTTAAATCTCGCAACTTTCGTCTGAACATATTTTTGATTAGATTCTTATTCTGATAAATTCGGAGATAAAAAGGATGAACGCGTGATCTAAGACACCCTATATATATTATATATGTACATGCATATATATAATATTTGTAGTCATTCGAATTGCGCGCCGAATTGGTTTTTCGGACTTATAAACGCAATTAAATTATTGTAATCATATCACAAATTAAATTAAATGGACAAGCAAATTTTTAATAATTTGATACTCAATCCGGTAAGATATACTAGTAAGATGTTAATGTGTTGAAAAACTAAATAAATTTATTGCGAAAAATATTACCTTGACCAAGGTACGAAGTAATATTTGAGCGCTCCTTACTCTGATAAAGTGAATGAAGATTCACGAATTGTTGACCTGAATGAAAACACGGCGATAACTCGCAAATCTTCTGGTATTTTTAAAATTTTTCGTTTTGTTGTGTTATAGTTATATATGTTTAAGAAAAAAATAGTTGTTAACGCAGCAATAAAAAATATTTAAAACGTTTGTAGATCGAACACCAAACATTCAAACTGTGAAGAGTTTAGAGAAGTTGATTTATAAAATTGTGTATGTATGTATATGTGAAGATAAACTACGCTGGATATTATTTTAACGGCGATACTCGCAAACTTTTTGATATCTTTGAAGATAATATCCGTGAAAGTCTAAAAGATGTTATGTATTGAAAGTCTAAAAGTGTTTCAATTGTTCATTTGCAAAATTTTTGTCACACATAAATCGAATAGAAACAAAGGCGTTTAATGTTCAAGTGATAGCGGTAAAATTATTTTAACAATTTAAAATTTCATTTATCAGAATATCTTTCTACCCCACACGTTATTGTACAGCTATGAAATGTAATATATTATAAAAGGGACAGAAATTACGCAATGACTTAATGCAATATATATAAATAATATTCTGAGATATTAATAATAATAAAAATCATTTATATTCAAGATTAATGAATTAATTCGATGCCTGTTGTTTAAAAACTTTGTTTTCAATGGTATCAATAATGAATGTAAGTTATAAATATTATTTACAAATTTTTTATTGTATTATATAGAGTTAAAAAAACTATTCAGTATTTATATGATAGATAATACATATCATGCTGAATAAAAAAATTTTAGTGAACGTAGAATCGAAAATTCAACTATTATTGAGATATAAGCATTTTTTGCATCATAAATGATTTTCTGACTTCTATGCAAGATTGAGAAAGTTACCTTACAAATTACTTATAAGTTATTTTTCATGTTACTTGAAAATTAACATTATATATGTATTTGTTACAAAAATTGAGTACAAACAGTAATATAAAATTGAAGTAAATGATAAAATAAAATACTCAAACTTATTGTATTCAATTTGTATAACAAAAAGTAATTTATAATTAAGTAACTTTCTCAATCCTGCTTTTACGTATTACATGCGATGTTTACAAACTGTATTTTAAACATATTTATTATACTTGATTTACATACATCATGCTTTATAAGAAGATTTACGTACATCATGCTTTATAAGAAGATTTCACCGCCATCAGTTGTCATGGTGATTGCAGATCTATATATTTGATGACTATACAGTTTTAAAACTAGTTGCTAGTGAAATCTGTTACGAAGTAACAGAAATTGTACGGAAATTGAAGGAAGACATTCAGAAATTGGCAGGCATTCAGAGGATAGCAGTTTAGAAATAATAAACATCGCATACGTATAAGAAGCCCGTAAGTTATTTAAGATGTTAATATATAAAAATGTTTGTATTTCAGTAACGATTTTCGAGTTTTAAGATTTTTTCCTTACTGTTAGTATATGCTAAATATTATTAGGTATGTGTTATATAAATATTGAATATTTTTTTTTAAATACATCCTCTATGATGTAATATTTTTTTTATAACATTCTATTTCTTACACAATGTTGATGTTAGCAATAAACTGAAAACAAACAAGTTATATTGTATAATCATTTAATTATATGTCACAATTACAAAATATATACACATCATCGTATAACAATATAAAGTTTAGTAAAATATATAATTAACACGTATTTTCAACCGATATAAAATGTTCTTATTTTAAAAAATTGTTAATTTTTTAGGCAATCATGTTTCTAATAAAATATATCATGCTCTTAGCAGAGATTTTATTGCTTGTACTGAAAGTTCCATATTATATTTTTAACGATGTATACAGATTAATAAGACCAATAAAAAAAAAGAGCGTAGCTGATGAAATCGTTTTGGTACGTATAAAATCTTAATATATACACAGTTTATTAAAAAAATATGTATATTCTATGTGATTTACCTAAACTTTGTAATTTTTTCTAATTTTTTTCTGAAATTTTTTCCAAAATTGAATTCCAACAAATTAATATTTTCTTTAACAAATGTTTTCACATTTATCTTATCTATTACTATAAAAAATAATTTTTCCATTACTATAAATAATAAATATTATTTCAAAAAATGTCACGTAAATATAAATAGAAAGATTTATATTCTAGACTTGAAACTGAGACACTCTATTTAATACATTTGTTTACATTTACATTTGTTTAATAAAATACGTATTTTATTAAACAAAAGTTCATTATTTCATTTTAAAGCAAAATAAAAGTTTAAAATTATGCTATTTTAAACGAAAAGTTGTAATATGTAATAATTATAATTTAAATTGTATTTATATATTATCATAGATAACGGGTGCAGGTCATGGTATCGGAAAGGAATTAGCGATTGGTTATGCTTCATTAGGAGCAACAGTGGTATGTTGGGATATCGATGAAAAAAATAACAATGAAACAATGAACGATATTAAAAAAAAAGGAAACGACTCTGTGTATGCGTATCAGTAAGTTTATATAACAATGCTCCGTGGAACAAAAACTAGATCATAATATAAACGCCTATTAAATCATCAATTCTAATTAAAATCTGTGTGTTTTACAGATGTAATGTAGCAGATGTAAAAGAAGTTTTCAGCGTAGCCAAAAAGGTAAAAGAAGAAGTAGGTGACGTAACTATCTTAATTAACAATGCCGGCACAATGTGTATTAAATCTTTACTGAAACATAGTCCTGATGAAATTACACGTATCATAAATGTCAACGTGACAGCGCATTATTGGGTAAGTAATATATCAAGAGATATTAAAGTTACAAGACATAAAAAGTAACCGTTAATATAATTGACTTTATTTTTGGAAACAAATATATTGCCAGCTTGCTATATTTGTAAATAAAGTGTACTAAATGATTTAGATCAGTATATGATTAATGGCCGTAGCACAGATTCTTGCATAACGCATAATGCATAGTGCATGAAGGAATCAACCAATCGAAATTCTTCTTTTCGATGGAATGAGAGAAAAAAAAGATTCTGATTAGTTGATTTGCTTATGCGTTATGTATTATGCAAAAGTCTGCTACGGTTATTTAAGCTTCCGAAAATTACTATTTGCAAAGTAATATTATTTTCAGACATTGAAAGCATTCTTACCTAGTATGATCGAAAAGAATCACGGTCATATTGTGTCGGTTTCATCTATAGCAGCATTTTATAATTTTCATTATGGGACAATTTACTGTCCTACAAAATCCGCAGTTCAAGGTAATTCATTCCTTATTGAATGATTATAGGAAGGGAAAAATATGGACGGACATACACACACACACGCGCACGTACGCACGCACATTGTGCGGAAATGCAACCAACAAACTTCCAAAGATTGTTGTGGGGGCACCAAAAGAATCATTTTTTACAAATGAAGCTAGAATCGGAAGCATATTGTTACATCATTACGACTGACAGTGTTCGGAAAAAAGCATAAAAAAATCTTCATTTATTTGTAGACTTCAGTTTTATGTACTCCGAACAGTACTGTTGTGTACTGTTGTGTACTGTTGTCAAAACGCGTATTAGATTAAAGTCATCATTGAGGAAATAATAAAGTATTTTATTTCTAATTTTGTTCCTTTCTCAGTGCCAAACTTACTTTTCTTATGAGTTCCACCTAAGATCAAACTCATAAGGTCAATAAATAAATCTTTTTACATCCTACAACTTTTGTATAAAATAATTTTTTATAAAACTTATATTTTTTGAGATATTTCGAGGTTCGACTTTTTTCGAACATTCTGTCTGCCATAGCGATGTAACGATATGCTTCCGACCCTAGATCCATTTGCATAAAATTATTCTTTTGGTACCCCCGACAATTTCTGAAAGTTTGTCGCTTGAATTTCTGAACATCCTAGATACACACCTGGATACTGTTTATTGAAATAATTCTGGCTTTGTTTATTGAAATAATTCAGAGAGAGAGAGAGAGAGAGAGAGAGAGAGAGAGAAAGAGAGAGTAGCGCTTATTCATATAACATAACTACTTCTGGAACAAGTTTGTTAGTTATAGAATGATTGTACAATAGATAAAATATACATATATATATAGTACACATATAATTGACACATAATTTGAATAACACGTATGCGAAAATAAGAGAAAGTATGCTTTTCTAATATATTAATTATATCAACAGCAATTATGAATTCTGTATCGGATGAATTACGTACATTCAGTGACAGAAAGTCATCGATTAAATTTACAACCGTTTATCCATTCTTCGTACAGACCGGATTTATTAAAAACATATATTTTAGGTAATTTTACAACAATATACTATTGTAAACAATTTTTTTATATCATTCGTATCATGTGTCTTGTATCACGTGCGCAATCCATTTCTTTTATACATTTTTACATATATGTATTCATATACGACGAAAACAAATTTTTATTTTAATAAATCTTTATTGTAATAAGTGTAATAATAAAAAAATAAGTGCTTTTTATATGTTGTTAATAGTAATTAATTAATAACATGTTTGTGATCTGTACAAAATAAGATTAAATTTTATTTTATTTACCGATATAGATTTCCATGGTTAATACGAGAACTTTTACCGCAAGAAGTGGCTTTGTCAATAATTAATGCACAAAGGCAAAATTGTAAAAATCAAACTATACCTTCATACTGGTTATCTTTATATAATGCAGGAAGGTATGTATGAATCATGATACAAAAAAATTTTATCATAAATATAGGTACATAATGTATTTTAAAATATATAATATTTATATTATATAAAATATATATAATAATGAGCTACAGTACAGTTCATTGTAATATACAGAATTATATTATATTCAATATTACAATTTAATATTATTTAATTATTATTTTACATCTATGATAAAGATATTTTTTATTTCAGACATTTACCTAACATAGTAGAAAAATACATGCAAGATTTTTTATCATATTTTATCAATATCAAAACATACGATGTATATGTAATATATATATAAAATATATAAAATGTATAAGTTCTATATATATGTATAATATAATGCTGTTATAAGCCTAAATTAAAAACCTTAAAAATATATTCTGCTAATTTTCTAAAAAATTCGATTGTAAAATATCACTAGAAATTATATCAAGGCAATCGTATCCTCTTAATCCTACTTTTGCACCAGCAATGCAGCATGCAAATTTAATAGCCTGTTGTAGAACTGTTTCATTAATAAATTTTGCTCGATTATACTTCCCCGAAGTTCTTATATCTAAATTTTCCTTAACATCTCGTTTTGCAGTATTATTATCAGAGGCGTCCTTCATTTGATTATCATTCGTACAAGCTGCTTCTTCTTTATATTTGTGCATAAATTCAACTTTGCTTTTGTTCAAATAATACAGAGCAGCAGCATTAAATGTATCACCTGCACCTAAAGTATCGATTACCTTTTGAGGTGGGAAAGCTGGCGATTGTACTATTGAGCCGCATGATGTACGAGCGATTGCACCTTCCTCCGACCAAGCACAAACAATAGTTCCTCTAAAAGGAGATTAATCTCTTATATGCATAGGATAATATTATGTATTGACGAATCTTTTATATATTTATATATTTACAAATATTAAAGATTATTATTATTATTATTATTATTATTATTATTATTATTATTATTTGTATAATTATATTTACAAATAAAAAAAATGAGTATATTTCCTTACTTAGAATCTTGACCAATGTTATGTATCGCTTCGTTCATATTACTGAAACCCAGATACTCAGCAAATTCTTTTGCTATAAATGCTACGTCAACGTACGACAATAGATTCAATAACCCGGAACCTGATCTCGAACTTTCTAATTCTACACTAATTGTAATTGGCATGCGGTTTTTAGTGAGATCACAATTTAATGAATTATTATAATTATCTATATGCTGTATCATAAGTAGCACTACATCTATATGTCTTCCCTAAAAATAGGAAAAATTCAAATGCTTCATATAATTCTTCCTACATTATAAGACAAACCTCAAAATGAATCCAACTATATTCTTCTAAATTAAGTTGCTCGAAATTCTTTAATGTCAATTCGGGTAAACAATTATGATAAACAATTGTGCGAGATCCAGTGTCCAAACTCAATATAATACTTGAGACGGGACATCCAATACCATTTATCATAGGACAATGGGAATAGTCAATTTTATACTTGCGCAGATCGTTTTGCAAAAAATTAATATGTTCGTCTGTGCTCAAGCATGCCAGAAGCTCACATGGTTGTCCTATTAATGATAGTACAGTACAAGTATTAGATGCATTGCCTCCTCTTTGCCATCTGTAATTAGTAGATCTGAAAATTATATTTATAATAAAAAATTAGAAATGTCTAAATTAAAAATCCGTAAAAATTACATATTATAAGTTATCTTTTCAAACAATTTACGAATTGAAAGAATCGGAAAAATTAGAAAACTTTCACAAAACTTTAATAAATTAGTATGTTATTGATTTTATTTAAATTCTTTAAAATAAAACATAACGGTTAAAAATATGTAATATTTCTTAGGCAATGTGTTTATATATACAGGGTGTCCCGAAAGTTTTTACCAATTGCTTTTGTGTAGATAGAGCGGATTAATCTGAGTCGAAAAGTCCTCTACTATTTTGCAATTTTCGCAAATATATTATTAAAATTTAAGATATATTTTTTTCTCAGTGTGTGTACATACAAAAATATCTAAAGTTCAAGACTATTGATTTATATATGTTTCCGATAACAAAACTGTTGACATCGCAAATTAAATTCATCTATTACAGATTAATAATAGTTCAGTATTTGAATATTCAGTATTTGAATACCATTGAAATACCACTGCTCAGTCCACGTGCGATCAGAGATCCGATTATTACTATCAAGAATACGTTCCACTTGACGCTCGCAACGCCCATGAAATCGTTTCATCTTTATTATTTATTAAATATTATACAAGAACGAATAATGTTCACAAGCGTTGTGAACGCCAAAAGGAACACATTTCAATATAATCTTGTTTGAAATTATGTAAATATTTAAATATTAGATATCGTATATATTGATATCTGCCATTGATTGAAGATCGCGATCAACGAATTCACTGTCTTTCTTCACGCGGCAAATTCATTAAATTAAGACAAACATCTCAGTAATTGGACATATATCTATTTACATAAAACTTTATTTCTTCATATTATTATTATGGTCAGTGTTTATAGCGTGAAATTGTGGAGTCACATTCAAAAAGTTTAATATAGAAATTCGACTCAAGAAATCCAAGAATTGAATTAAAAAGCAATCATAAATTTTTAAAAATATCGTACATTGTCGATATTTGTGATAGCAGTATAACTTTTAGTTCTTTTAATTTGTATAAATAATAGAGATTCGCGAATGAATTTATCAATAGAAATTGCAGAAAAATAACAAATTTCGCAATTGTCACCATTTTATTTTCCCGTCCTCTACTCGAAATTTCCACATCCCACGAGCTGAGGCGAGTCAATTCGCCAAGCCTGATTTTTATTAATCTCATGTTTTTTTTTTAATATAATATAATAATTTTATTATAATATTCAAGAACAATTAAATAACGTAAAAAAAGTATGTGAGATTAATATAATAATAAATTTTATGTATATATTCGGACGTAAAATACATGTCTAGTTATTGACATATTTATCTTAACTCTAAAAAAATCAAAGTTGCATCATTAACCTTTGAGTGGAATCTTCTGAAGGATATTCCGTGCACACGTGAACGAAATCAAGGCAAACGCGTCCCACACACAAAATCTTCAACGTATGAACTTCCATGGACGATTCCTCATAGATGATCTGCTCGTCAGTAGATGTCATGTCTACAGTCAGAAATGTCGAAATATTTTCTTCCACACTCTTATCTGCGTAACTGATATGCACAGGGTCGGCAACTTATTTCTCCCGTGGGTGTGGAATTTTTGACTAATGAAAGGAGGGAGAAAGGTGGAGTAAAATGATAACCTTTCTTTATTCTTTATTTATTTTATGCTATTTGTTACCCGTCCCCTTTTTACAATTGCGAATTGCAATGCGCGCTCTGTCTAATAGTCGGTAAGGGATAAATCACATTCGAGTATTCCCCACTCGTTCAATTGTAAGAGAGGAATGTGTTCGACTGTGATTAGTCAATTCTTGCAGATAATAATGGCATACAGCACACAAATAATTATTATATAACGGTTACAATCAGTACAAATGATCCCTATAAAAGTTGAATTTCTGCTATGCGCGCAATTGTACTGCCACGAATATCGGTCGACATCTGCAAACATTTTAAAAAATTTACATATAATTTTTAATCCAACTCTTGGATTCCTTGGGTGTGGATTTCCACACTATTCTAAATTTTGAGTGTGGAGTGCTCCACGATTCTACACTACAGTTGCCGGGCCTGACTAGACTTCTTCTTTTTCATTTTTCTTAAGCAACCATTCCTATTAACGCAAGATACAAATTTTAAACATGATCTACAAGGTCAATGAATCATGACCTTACAATTTGACATTCTTTAAAAATTCATGAATTGATTGCTCAAGAATTCTTTAAAATATTTGTAGCATAATGTTGATCATATATTATAGAATAAATATTCTATTTGTGACGTCCCTTCAAATAGTCGCAGATAATTTTTATTTATTAGTATATATTACTTATCTCTAAACAGATTATATAGAATATAATTATTTATAATGCAGCAAATTAATGCAGCTTTTAAGATATTTATATTTAATTATTATATTCAATTATATATATATATTTTCGAAAAGTCAACTAATTGAAAACCTATAAAATAAAGAACGCTATCATATTAATTATATAATTTAATCAATTTAATAATGGAATTATACAGGGTGTTTCAAAATTCGCGCCCGCGAAGTACAAGACGTAATATTTTATGCTAAAACAAATAACTTTTTCCTTTAACGAAATTGCATCCGATAAATAATTTTTGTACTTATATGTTGATTTCAACCTGCTCTGCTGCAAAAATTATTTATCGGACGCAATTTTGTAAAGGAAAAAATTGTTTTTTGTGCTAAAACGAACAACTTTTTCCTGTAATAAAATTTATATTTGATAATATTTGATAAATAATTTTTGTGTTTACTCGTACAACTTCAACCTGCTTCGCTGCAAAACTTATCAGACACATTTTTTGCAAAAGGAATAAATTGTTTTTTTTTTAGCATAAAATATCACGTCTTGTACTTCGCGGGCGCGAATTTTGAAACACGCTGTATATAATAGCTTCAATTTTTAATTCTTGTCTACATAATATAGAGATTATTAAAAAAAATTTTCATCACGCGAATAAGTAGGTAGGAAGAAACGCAAAAACTCTGAATGTGCCTACATACTAATATGCGGGCAACTTCATGCATTAAGCAATTATAATTCCTTGATAATCCGTGTGCATACGCCTGTATATTGCAAACACATACTTATAAAATATATACGTATATATAATTATAAAATAGAGTAAAATCGTAAATAATATTGAAAATCTTGGAAATCGCAGGAGAATCGTATCATTACCATTGTGACAGTTAAAATGCCAAGATGGCGACAAGATCGAATTCGTAACGCATCGCGGAACACTTGCTGTTAATATCTCCAAATCACGTCATCACGATACATATTCGTACCGGATTGTTGAGGATATTGTACGCTCAAACGAGACTTGAGCTCGACTCGGTTGTCGTAGCTAATACCGCGTTGTCGTAAAGCCAGAGGAGAAAATCTCTGAGACATATGTGGCTCGAGATATATTCTTGGGCGTATAAATTCTGCGTTAGATTCTGCACGCGCGCGTCTCCTCGTACGATTACCGCTTTGAGTTTAACATAAATACAATGGATCCACGTTTGCATAGAAGATCCGAGGCTGAAAAGGGACCGAGCGATTTGGTCAGTGGACAGTTAACCTCAAAATTCCGTTTGTCTCGTTTGCTCGTCGACAACGACGCGCCCATTAATGGCGAAATAATGATTTTGTCGTATAAATACTTTTATGTCAAAAGAAAAGAACGATTACTTTCGCAATCCATACCTTTTTGATAAAAAATGTAGTATCCTCGATGACAAACTTTGTAAAATCAAAGAAAATGTTTTTTTTGCATCGCTTACGGAGTCAGTAAAAAATTGTTACTAACATTATAATATAAATGTATGGATGATTTCCATTTGGTGACACAAGTCGACACCAATATTCTGTCTTTATTGTTCATGAAATGCCAAAAAAGATAGAATGATGGTCGTGTCAACCACTTATGTCATTAAATAGAAAACGCCCTATATTTTTTATGAGAAGGAATTATTTCAATTATTTTATGAGATACCACTTTACTCTGCCATGAGCAAAAAAGAATTATGAAATTCACAGCCTTTTAATCTGATACAAAAATAATCTAAATTATTATATCCAATTACATATATTATATAATAATTGTGAAAAATTTTATTATTGAAACGATATAATTTTTCTTAATATCTTCTGTCCTCTTATATAGATTGTTGAGTGGTTAAATGAGGCTTCTATAAGCATCGCTGAGGACATTAAAATCACAAACATATGTAAAGTACAGGAACTTTTATTGAATAAGGAACCACATCTGTTAGACAGTTACTTAAATGACATTCTACAATTCTCTGTAGATAGAAGCTCTGAAGTTAGAAAAACCATTACAGGATTTATCGAAGAATCTGGGTTATTATCAACAATTATTTTTTTTATGATGCAATTTTGTTTTAGAGGAAGTATACATTCAATAACAATATATTTTATAACTGATTTTTTCAGAATAAAATATCCAGAGGTAATCCCTCGTACAGTTCAAATACTTCTTAGATTAGCGTCTGATGAAACATCGGTTGTAGCTAAACGTGCTCTTAGAGCTAGTGGCAGAATTCTCAGAGCTGCTCTCAAATGGATCGCTAGTGCTACTGTTGTTACGACAGATATGGAATTAGCATGGACACAGCTAAGTGCTCTTAAAGTTCAAATTATTAATATGATTGACAGTGACAATGACGGGTGAGCAGAATGATTAAAAATAATCGAAAATAATCTCTTCATTTGGAATGGTCCTAACGCTATTAAAATATTCTACATTTCAGAATAAGAACACAAGCTGTAAAGTTTCTTGAGGGTGTTATTTTAATACAGACATATCCAGATCCCGATAGTCCAAAGAAGCCCGATGATTTCTCTCTCGAGGATATTCCGTTAACATTGAAAATAGCTCGTAGACGAAAATTGGAGGAAGAAGCAAATCACGTTATGGATTTGTTGATTAAATTTCATGGATCTCCACATGTTAGCAGCGTCAATTTAATGACATGTATGGGATCTTTGGCGTTAATTGCCAAAATGAGGCCACAGTTTATGTCAAATGTAATTCAAGGTATATATATTTACTTATATATATATTTAATATACAATAATTTTTTTACATTCTCTGAAAGATTTAATAATTTATATCATAATGCATAGCATTACAAAGGTTGCAACATGATCTACCACCAACACTGTCTGATTCTCAAGTAACCAGTGTACAGAAGCAATTAAAACTCACACTTCTTGGATTGATGAAACATCCTGCTAGTATAGAGTATGCCTCAACTATTGCTAAACAGTTGACTCAACTTGGAGCAAAAGAGCAAGAAATTATTAAAGCTTATCCAAAACCAGAAGATGTCCGTCGGATAAAAAAACGTCAACAGGTATATATATATATATATGAATTTTTGAGTAAATACATTTTTGTTGTGCATATTATTTTTAAAGATTTGTTTATTAATTGAAGGAGATAGCTGCTACTGCTGCGAAACGAGTAAAAGTTGAAGTGATAATAGATGAAGCAGAAGTGGCTACTGTTCCTACGCCTAAATTACCAGACTTAATTGAACTTTCTGAAAGTTTTATTGCCGAAAGACTCAGTGTAGAAATTGCAACGGATTTGGTAATGGATAGTATGGTACGATACAAATTATATTTTATATTAATCTATCTCATAAAATAAACTTTAAATTATCAACATGTATTGAACGATATTTAACAGGCATGGGTTCCGGATACTATGACTACAATTTTCCAAAGGGAATATCAACCCACAGCAACTACTGATATTAATATACAACGTCAAACAATTGCTAAACTTCTAGCAACACAAATTAAACAGACTAAAGCAAAAAAGAACAAAAGAGATAAGGAAGAAGATGCCGTAATGGAAGACTTAATTAAAAATCCCACAATTAGTGTAGCTGAGGCAAAGCGGGAGCGTAAACGTGAAAAAGATCGGGAAAAAGAGAAAGAAGCAAAAGCATCATTAGAGGCTCATGAGAAATCACTTGCAAAACCCAGAAATCGTATGAAAGCGTTGAAATTAGTCGAAGTGACAAAACCACTTCCGAAGGAAATTAAAGAACGGATGTTATTGATGGCAGTCAATAGGATATTACTTTCAGAAAAAACTGCAGTTTTTGGTGGTGTAGCTACTATAAGGTAACTATAACGGAGCATAAATTATTATACTGAAAGTTCTTAATATATGACACACACACACACATATTTATGTTGTATCTAATAGTTAATAGTTTATCTCTTTATACTATATATTACAGATCCAAGATTCTGACTACGCTAGCAGCCACTTTCAATCCTTACATTAAAGAAGCTGTTTTACGTTATATTACTGATGACATGCGAAATCGATTAGATTTAGCATTAGGTTGGCTATATGAAGAATATGCATTGCTACAAGGATTTCAAAGGCGGACTACGTTATGTACAAAACCACAAGAAGCTCCTCATCAGGCATATAATTTCTTATTGTGCACTTTAGTTTCAGCTATTGATTTGATTCAGGGCAAAGATCGTGATGCTTTGTTATCCAGGTAATATTAAATTTAGAAAAAGCATATATCCACGCGCGGAATGAAATATAAAAATATAAACATCTAATCACTAACTATTCACAAAATTTTTTCTTATAAAAGACTTTATTTGGAAGCACCATTAATAACAGAAGATGCTGTAGAGGCTTTAAAAATGGTATCATCTGACGAAACTAGAGGTCTTGCACCATTGCAACTTCTGAAAGAAATGGTAGTGCGTAGACCAACTAAACAACTGGTATTTTTAAATGTCTTATTGTGCCATACTGGACATGAAAACAATACAGTAAGATTAAAAATTATATAATGCTGTATAATTTAAAAATATCCTTTTAAAAATATGCATATTGATACTATATAAAGTAAAATGTTATAATACATTTTAATAAATAGATACGAGAAGCTGCAATACAATTAGTTTGTCAGTTATACAGCCGAGCAGAGTTAAGTAAACTAATCGAGGAATATGCAGTATTATATTTAGGCTTTTTACGCCTTCATAATCCCCCGGAGATTGTTTTCGGACAAGATAGAGGCAGACCGCAAATCGAGAGTCTGTGGACCGAATCAACTACACGTGCCTGCTTAGGATTGTATCTTGCTCTCCTCAGTGAACATCAAGATCTGATTCACGAGTAAGTGATATAAAATCATTTTCTTTTTTAATTATTAAATATACATATATATATCTGTATGAAAATCCTGTGTACTGTATATTGTATATTTAATAAATAACAGATTAGCTAGAGTATATACGTCAATGGGAGCAGATGTGAAACGTATTGTATTAAGACTGGTAGAAGGACCAGTGAGATCTTTAGGTATGGGTAGTCCACAACTCCTCGCACTTGTTGAAAACTGTCCAAAAGGATCTGAAACTTTAGTCACAAGGATCATACATATTCTTACAGAAAAATGTATGTTATTATTTAAAATATATATTTTTTTTAATCTGTATTTTGTCTATTGTTTTATATATTGTGATATTTGTGTATGCAGCTGCCCCAAGCGCAGAGTTAGTAGCCAGAGTACGCGAGTTATATCAGACTAGAGTTTCCGATGTCAGATTTTTAATACCTGTCCTGAATGGACTCACAAAGAAAGAAGTAATCGCCGCATTACCAAAATTAATCAAATTAAATCCTATTGTCGTAAAAGAGGTAAATAATGCATTAAAAATATTACTTTATTGCTGCCTTCTTAAGCATAATTAAAGCATAATAAATTTATTTTTTTCAGGTATTTAACAGGTTACTTGGGACACACAATAATGACAGTGGAGTTCCTCATACATCGCCTATTACTCCTGCAGAATTATTGATAGCTCTACATAGCATAGATCCAAGCAAGGCTGAATTAAAAACAGTCATTAAAGGTAATTTATTTTATGTGAAATTTGTTTGCTTTCCTTAAGAGAAAGTTTTATTGACATAAATTTTACGGAATTTTTTCTTTCGTATACAGCAACATCTCTTTGTTTCGCTGAGAAACAAGCGTACACGCAGGAAACAGTCGCCGTTGTGATGCAACATCTTATGGAAATGACACCTTTACCGACATTATTAATGCGTACAGTCATACAAAGCTTAGCCCTTTATCCCAGGTTAAGTGGATTTGTTATGAACATACTTCAACGACTGATTCTGAAACAAGTGTGGAAACAGCCGAAAGTGTGGGAAGGTTTCGTGAAGTGCTGCGAACGCACGCAGCCACAAAGTTTCGCCGTTATTTTACAATTACCACCGGCACAGTTGGCAGAGGCTCTTCGGATGGCGAGCAATTTACGTGCTCCTTTGCTGGCCCATGTTGAAGCTTTTGCCGAGAATCAGGTAATTTTGTAGCACATTTTAAAGTATATTTTTTAATATACTTTACACTTTAAATATGACCGAAAATTTCTTTATATTATTGATATAAATTAAGCGTGATCTTCATTATTCGATAAATAAATTAATAAATAAGATTATAAACTAAAAATATATATAAATATAATAAACCATTTTTTGAATGATTCTATCGCACATAGAATTTAATATCGTATATTTTTTTCTTTTTTGTTTCAGAAAGCACACATTCCGCAATCAATAATGGATGTTATACAGGGTAAAGTGCCCTGTGATATGCTCGATGAGTTTGATATTGTGAGTAAAGATGCCTGTATATAAAGGAATGATATTTTGACCCTATATCTTTATAATATAATTCTTTAAAATAAATACGCGGTATTTTCTCGAAAAAATATCTCTTCCATCAATTTCTTTCAGGCACCACGTGGTGATTATTCGAATGATCAAAAACCAGATACAATGGAAATTGATCTTTCGGAACCAGCCCCTCCCGGTTTAGATTAGCATAAAGTCATTCCAGTGTTAGGACCAAAAACATCGTTTACCGAGTATTTTAACATTGATAAATTTGCTTTGTAAATGTACAGTATTTTTTTGCATCGCTATATGCGACATTTAGTTATATATTTTGTTGGTAATAGTTTATATTTATATCTTCATTTGACGCTAAGTATTTCAATTGGCTGATATTTAGCGTTAAATATGTAAGTCAAAAAACTAAAATTACAAATTTAATTCAACGAAATCTAAACACAATTGAGATTCTCGATATACATAATTTTCTTTAATTAGTTTGACATTATATATTATCATTAGTTTTATAAATCTATTTTATTTTTGGATCTTCAATATAATCTAAATACATTTTTCGGTATCTAATATAACAGAATATGTAGATGCTATTTGCCTTCTCTCTCGTATTTAATATTTATATTTGTAATAATATTAAAATATACATATACTATCGATAATTTAATATTAAAAAATATATATTTCAAACAATTTTCTATGAATAACAATTTTCTTAATTTTGATTAGATTCTAGTTTTTATTTATATATACCTATATAAAGAAATAAGTTGTAGAATATCAATCGTGTCAGCTAAAATACATTTAATTTATATCTGTTAAATTTACTTCATATAAAATACATAAAATTTTAGGAAAAAGAAAATAGATATAACCTCAATTGTTTGGCTTAGCAGAAAATATTTCCTTTTATATTTAATGTGTCTCTTAAATTTTATATACAAATGCGCTCGTGAATGATTATTTCAGTCTGTATTTCTTTCTTGCCTGCTCAGATATTATAAATTGAACAGTTTTGTTTTATGATACGTATCTATTTGAAAATTGCGTTGAGTATTACCCAGAAATATAATTTAATCATTAATTGCGATAAAAGAATAAGTACATTATTTTTACGATTGAATTCATTATGTATGACTAAATTAGAAATCAGTCTTAATGTTACATATATGTATTACTGTTGATGCATAAAGACTAAATTACAAATCAGCTCAACATTACATATATGTCGTACATGTTAAAAGTTAAAATAATTATGCTTAAGTTTAAAAAATATAATGTGTATAAAATAGAATCGAGTGCACTTAACGTCTATCATATGAAAGTAATAAACAATTTTTTTCATGAACGTATATAATCTGCAATGTATAAAAAATAATAAAATATTTTTTGTTACATAAATTCTCATATTTGTTGCATGCTTTCACTTAAAAAATAAGTAAAGTATACATTATAAAAAACAATTTTATAAATATAAAAAATATTAGAAAACATATTTCGCTGAGAAATTATGCAGCAAGAATTTTAAGATTGATAATCATTAAAAACCATTATATCTTGAGAATTAAATACACTCGTGATTTGCACATACATTGTAGTAATAAAATATATATACATATATATATACATATATATATATGTATATATATGTTTATATATATATATATATATGTTTATATTAACATTACGCAAAGTCAACTCCAGTATCTAACAAATCGCGTAACATAAAAGATGCCTTTTTTGGAAGAATCCTAAAAACGTAAGAAACTTATATTAGATCATTCCTCTTGTGTATACAAATAGAGACGTATATAAGTAGTGAATTTACCTAAGTATATGTCCAAGATAAAGCAAATATCCTGGTACACTAAACTCCGCGTAGTTTCGGCGAACACCATCTAAAATTTGTCTAGCAGCTTCTACGGCAGGCATTGTACCAAAGTAACTCGGTATTCTGCAAAATGTGTTTTTCAGAAATTAGAATAATTCAAAACCGTCGCATAGATGATAATAAAAACTAACATATAAGAAAAAAATTAAATGTATAGTTTACAAATATTGAACACCTAAAACGTATGTCTTTTGCAACTTCCGTTCCAACGATAAAGGGATAAACGTGAACCAATGAAACGATGATGTTGCTATTTGAATGTCTTAATTCCATATGCAAGGATTCTGCTAATCCTTGGACAGCAAATTGTGCAGTAGATAAGGGAACCCGGGTTCCTCGACCACTGGATCCATTAGAAAGACCAGCAACGGATGAAAGAATCGTAATGTGGCCTTTATCAGCTTGTCGCATACATGGCAAAACTGAATCCAACAACTACGAAAGAAAGGACATTGATTATACCAAGATTTTTATATCAAGATACACGATTAAAGTATTACTCACCCAAAAATAACTGATGACTGATAAGTCCATAGTGTCTCTTACTTCTGACGATTCTTGTATTAATGTACGTGGGCTGGGCAAACCACAACAATGGAAAAGCATTGTAATGTTTCCAAATTCGATCTTAATAAGATTCACAATTTGAGCAACCTAATATCGACATATTAATAACATATCAGAGACTATGATTTATGTTTATTATAAGAAGAGAAATGCAGGTGTTTGAACATACTGCATCTTTATTTCTCACGTCGCACTGATAGCTTTTACATATTCCATGTAACTGTTGAGCACGTTCCACAGTAGCAGTGCAAGATGCTGCATTAATGTCTACACAAGCAACTACGACACCAAATTGACACAGCTGTAGAGCAAGTTCCTTGCCTATCCCACGTCCTGCACCTACGACCTAAATTATGATGTTCCTTTGTAATGTGAAAAGGTTTGCATTGACAAGAAGTAGATGGTAACAATATTACCATAGCCACTTCATAGTTGAGATTTTTCAATGGTGGTGGTCTAAACATTCTATAGGCAGCGATCAGGATTGTGTAGCACACTCCGATGATGAATATCACGAGATCCAATCCTAAGATGCACAACGAATATATCCGCAGCAGCATCTCTGGTGGCTGAATATTTCCTAGTTTGACCTGCAACAGAACACAACAGAGATTGCATAACACATGGAATGTCTCGTCACGTCGTATGATTATTTGATGATAAATCTCGACTCAGTAATTCAGCTAATGTAATTTTTGTGTCAACAGTACAAATTATTCAAGATCACTGTCGTACGTACCATTCTCTTAAAATTATTTAGAAATCGTGAACGTGTGTGAATTTAAACGGCTAAAGAACCCGCGACAGCGTACCTTATTTCAATTTTCAAGCGATATATATGTTTGTCGATAACACGTGTCGCGTCACCGCCGGCCGGCCAGGACGCAATCTCTCGCACCAGCGTTATCTGAATGCCCTAAATAAAAGTACTTGAGGGAAAAAAGTTACACGACTAAAATTAATCACTGGACTCGATACATAGCCGATTAGACCTCTTCATATACCATAACCATTGTTTAATTAGCATCTAAGCTAAACGCCTTCTCAACTAATCTGAACTTCTGAACTCTTCGCCCGGTTGCTACAGCCCTCTGAGGAAGCTTCAGCTAAGCGTGTTTAATTACTCTACAATTATCATGCGGATTATCACTGCGGCTTCACGTGGAACCCGAGCTCCCGATCGATCTCTCATTGATAAAACTGAATACGTCATCGACAATCACCAATAAAAATGTTCGATATTCGAACAGTATATATAAATGGAATTATCCGCTAATTAATTTTTTATTACAAACGCTCGTGAAATCAGGTAAATAATATCCGAAGAATTTGAAACATGAAATTTACATGCAAACGTGTTAATAAATCGAATTTTTAATTTTTCTTTTTATTTTATTCTTGTACTTAAAACAGGATAGACATATGATTAAATCTGGAAAGAAAGAGAAAAAATAATAAATGAAGTTAAGCTGCAGGCTGCAGCCTGGCTCGTGTTCAGATTCCCATCCGGGTGTTCTCTGGGTGTCATGTCCTTGTTTAACGTTCGGTAAATAACAAGGATAGAGTAATACTTGAGTGGCACTCGGGTGGGAAACTGAACATAGCCCTGCAGAAAATCTTTGTCAGTAATGTCAGTACATCGGCGCATGCGTAGATTGTAGGTTACATCTGATTTCGTAACAGAGTTTTTAGGATCCATCGTTTACTATTTTGTGAAAATTCAACAGCCATGTGGTATGAAATAATTCCATCGTTGGTGATAATAGGCATGGTACCCATAATACCTCAATGGACAACTTATTATCTAAATCAATTCTTTCTGGGGAATGTAAGTACACAAATGTTTTGTATGACATAACCTCTCTGTAAATTTGTAACAATTATTAATGTTAATACTTAACAAATTAAACATTTTATTTCTAAGAAATCCCTCTTTCATAGCAATTGGAACAATCCTTAAGGAACAATTTATCCTTGGGGTATAAATTTATGAGAAAAACAAGATATAAATAGGTAAGTAATAGTTTAAAACCTCTGAAATCTAATTGCAAATATGTTAATAACTTTCAAGCTAAAGGCACACTTCTTACTTTTAAATAAATTTGTATAAAAATAAAATTGTAATAATAAAATGTATTTAGCCAATAATAACGCTAAATTCATAAAATTCAAGAACTTATTGAATTAATATGTATTATATCTAAAATTATATATCTATGTATTTTGTATATCTTGATTCGGAAAATTCTAAAAAGATTAATTATTTCTTAAGGATTGTTCCGATTTTGTTATGAAAAAGAGGTTTTTTAGAAATAAATTGTTTAATTTGTTGGGCATTAACGTCAACAATTGTAGAATTTGATAGAATTCAGATGATTCAAATTATATAATTATTTATAATCTTTACAAAAATACTTTACTACATTTTAGTCTGATGCTATTTAAACAAGTTAAAATCATGAGAAAAAACTTTGGAAAAGATCGAAAGAATTTGTAATACAAATTCCTTTCCTGGTCCGCATGGAATTAAAATGTTACTTCTTCGACTTTTCTTTTCAGCCAATGCGTAGAGATTTGAGAAATGAGTGGGATCGCCATATGTTTACAAGAGATAGTCGTATAGATGGAGCCCCATGGAAAAACAGAGTAACTTAAATAAAAATAATCTTATAATTGACTCAATAATAATAAACAATAAATAACAAGAAGGGGCTAGTCAGATTTTTATGTATTTCAAATTCTTACAATATTTCGACCTTATTATTAGGTATTTGGCTTGTAATTCTTTCTTGTTATTTATTGTTTAGAGTAACTTAATATATTCATAAACTACAATATTTTATATGAATTTAAATGATTTTATTTATTCATATTTAATTACTTTTTTTATAGGGACTAGAGAATGTTCCTGATGATTAAAAGTACAAATATAATAAATAAATGATTGTAGCAATGTGGTATATAACAGATGATAGACAAGTTTTATCATTCAATTATAACTTACAATATAATGAAGTGTATACATGATATATATAAATATATTATACATTAATTATACTTACTTATATTATTTCTGATTTCTTAAATGTAAAGATGAAATTGTAGTTATAAAATCTAGTTGATAAATAATTTACTATCACTAGTAAAAATAAATAAAAAATTATGTAAGGTCTAAACATTGCTAAATTTTGTGTGTGTATGTATATTTTAAAAATTCAATATCTATAATCTACGTTTAATTTAACATCTACAAATTTAATTTGCGTTAAAAAAACCTTAGATAATAAAAAAATTCAAATTCAGATAAATCTATCAAATAAAATTTTATTTTTATATATAAACAGAAGCCTTAGATACACTTAGTTATCTATACGTGAATAGTTCATTGAATCGTAGTAATTAATTCTGGTAGCAAAGCAAACTTGCTAAATTAATGAATTGTAAAATTACACTCGTAAGAGGATATAGGTCGGATTACTTGCTTGCACGGATGTCTTACGGTTGGAGAAACTGGAATCAGCGGGGTAACATTATCTCGGTCCTGGAGTCTCGAGCACTCCTTAGCTAAGCGTTTCACGAATACACCATACATGTGCGCGGTATTGATAAGGTAAGGGCGGTAAATACTGAGTGGAAACTCCCCGAAGTCTTAAGTATGATATTTTCGGAAAATCAATAGCGGTATACTCGCGGTAATGCAACTTAGTCACTTTATCAAGTTAACGTGTAGTAGAGCTTTAGATAAATAATGGGTCATGCCGCTCCTATCGTATTTAGGACGTATGCCCTGTGTCAAACACTTGACGGATTTCAGCGAGATGTTTCAGAGATGCTGACGCGTAATTAATATTGACTCACGTCTGCATATCGCGTTTACTATACTCTCAACCGTGATAAGGTTTATTCACACATCACGAATACAATCGTTCGAATACGATTATCTGTATTTATACACTAACAATATCATTTGCCTGTGAATATTTTATCGAGAAATTTGTAAATTTAGTGTGTATATAAACTATCGCACAGTTTATATGACTTATAATTCTGAATAAAAAAAAGTTTCACGCTCTATTCGCTATTTATGAGTAATCACGTAGATAATGTTGACGAATTTAATAGATAACATTAGTAGGTTGTGCAAGCTATTTGTCTGATTAGATTGCATCAGTTTATTATTGAGGTTGTTTATTCCATTATTGTCTATAAAGCAAAATCTAAAACGTCATGACTGTGATTTAATGTTTCGTATATATAGATAAGTAATTGCTTCCTATATCTATCAAGAGATTGTTATTAATTTCTATATAGTGTTGTAACACTGTATTTATACTTTACTTATTATATTTAATTTATATTTTCGTCACGACGTTTTGTTTATAATTAAAGAGAAACTCTTTGTAAGACAGAATACAACCTAAGTATACTAAGTGTACACATATCGATTGTAACTTTTTTTATGTTCGGAAATGTTTCCTATTTTGAACCTGGTTATCAGTTTTCAATTTTGAACTTAGCAAAAAATTAGAAAAAAATTTCAAAATTTAAGTAGACCGGGTCTAGTTACTTTATATATATGTATATAGACATATATATATATATATATATATATATACATACACATCACTCGTCTTAATTACAAAAGTATTTAATGTTGAAAATTAGAACATTAGTTTCTCATTAAATTTTTGCAAAAAGCCCAGCCACAGATTCGTCAAAGGATGCACCATTAAAACGGGAGAGCACATCTGATGCTCTTCTCGTTTTACTATGGAGTCTAAGTCATTCCCTCGAGAGTTAGGTACTTCCGGGATCCTATTTCTGTGGTGAGCAGTTTCTAAAAGAAGTCGTTAAGAAATTTTTACTTCAAAGCAACACGCCTCAGCCACGTAAGCGAGTCGATTAAAAACTTTCCAACTTAAAATCGCATGAAAAAGTTATATACGTATCTTTCCTTTTTGCTTCGAACACGCGACATTACATTTGCATTGTGAATTGCAATGTGCGTGTATATATATATATATATATATATATGTATAAGGTAATAAGCTTAAACGTGGGTTTTTGTACGATAAACACGTGGGTGACGACGATACGTCTCTCGATATCCACTATTTGAGCAACAAGTGCGCCAAAGGAGGAGTTTCTGGGAAGTACGTTACTCTTCGTGCGATAAACTTTGACACTTGGGGCCGTTAGATTAACGGGGAATAATCACTGTCAAGAGCAAAAATAGCAAATATTAATAAAGCAACAGCTCCGATAGAACTCAGCTCCAATAGAACACAAAATGTTTTCGTAAACGAATACATTTTAGTGTTGATACAAATAATCTTATCTCTCTTTTGAGGGATATTCCTCATATCATATATATTATCATATCATTGTAAAAGGCCAGCTAAAAAAAATTAAGCTTCAGAAAAGAGGAAAGCTATTTTTTAATTTGATAGAAAATTATTGTATCAACACTAAAATGTATTCGTGTTCTATTAGCTGTTGCTTTATCAATGTGCTTATCGATAAAAAGAATGTATTCTTACCCAGATAACATATGCGTGTTGTATAATAAGATACCTAAAAGATGTCTTTTAGATACAAGACATCTAAAAGACATTCTTTTAGATATTTTATGTTACATAAATGTTATGGGTTAACATCATCAAATATGTTATGTTATTTTTCGTTTCGCAATCCTTAAAAAGAATCCTTCTCTCTTTTTTAGTAGTGACAAATATTTTTAAATCATCCTTTGTGAGTCGTAATGATTTTGACGAATTTTTATTTTTACTTAAAACACAAGATTTTTATATTTTTAAATATCATTACATTTTACAATTTTCGTAAATTAGAAAGTGGTATTGGCCAGAAATATTTAAAAAGAAATATGTTTATTAATTATACATTTTAAATTACAAATTTTTATTTTTTATTTTTGACATATGAAAACTTTACATTTATAAAAGAGATCAGCTTTTTCAAAATTGATACAATAAAATGCACAATAACTTATAAACAAAATTGCTTCTAAATCTTTCAGTATGGAGAGATCTCTCATGTATAGATAAACTTACCAATGATTTAATAAGTATTGCCACACGCGTCTAATATCTTAAACATTTTCCTTGTTCCATACTATAATCATTGTTCAAAATCTTTCTCTGCTTAATACTCGAGCATAAGTAAATGATAATAAAAAATTATACTTTTCTAATTGTGTTACTTTCGACAAACAAAGTTGGAGGAAATTATTACACATTAATAATTCATTGTAGAGAGAAAGAGAAAGCGAAGACAAAAAGCTAAATAAAAAATATGTATAGTATAATCATTTTTAATTAATATTATTGCCACCGATTTGATTCATTTCAGCAATCAAGATACATAAAAGACATTTGTCAAAAACACTTATATATAAGTATATATATAACTACGTGATATTGACGTATGTGTGTGTGTGTATGTGTGTGTGTATACACGTGTGTATATATATATATATATATATACATATACATATATATAACTACTTATACATATAAAACTACGTGATATTGACGACCGACGAGATTTAATAAACCGCATCGCGTCGAG